GCGCTAATGTCACGTGTAGTAATCGGACCCACGGCCCTCTCAAGGGCGGATCCAGGGGGGGGGGGGGGGGGTTATGGGGGTCATGACCCCCCCCCTGGGCTGGGTCCAGGATCTAGATGGACCACTAATTAAAATTGTTAAACATAATGTTTTTATATATTTTAGCCACAATATAGATTTTATGTAAGTACCTTCAATATTTAATTAAATTAATATAATATTTTTAACCAACTTCAAATCGAGTTTCTCAATTCGATTGTTATATTTTTTTCGATGTATGTACACCGATTACGTTGAGATTTATGATCCGATTTACATGATTCTTCTTTAGTTTGATGCAGAATAGTTTTCATTTGGTGCCATAAAGATTTACCATAGTTTGGCCAAGTAGTTTTTATTTTATTAACATTTTTATAATATTTTAATGTTTGTCATCAAATCTTGCAAATTAAATTTGATCTACTTCCCGGTCACCGGTTGAGCTGAAATATTGTATACATGTGTAAATCGCGAGAAAATGCAATATTGATGACATGGAGCTGATCTGATGATGGAGCTGGTGGCCAAAGAAAATTTGCAATGAAACGACAGAGCCTCATCGCATTTGGGTAAATTTGAATCTTATTGACGAGTAGTTTGTCTTTCATTGGTAACCAGGATCTGATGATGGAGCTCCATCTTCAGCCGTCCATGGACATATGCATAGGGTTGCAGATGCGTTTTCTCCTTATAATACAGTGGGCTCCGGCTACCTCACTCACCAGACAAAACGCAAAAGCACTTTACCGCGATCGTCTGTGAGGTCTATGAGGCTATTCTGTGAGGTTCCTATGACCACTCTGCAATGAAACGACTCATCGAGTTTCGGCTCGTTTGATTCGTCTTGGCGAGTACTTAATTTTTAGATAGTTACCAGGGTCTGATCTGATGATGGAGCTGGAAGATAGTCATATGAACTCAGTAAAGAAACGACGCAACCCTATTGTGTCTCGGCTCGTTTGATTCGTCATGACGAGTTTTTTGGTGCTAGATGGTAACCAGGGTCTAATGACAGAGCTGGAATGTGGCCATAGGAACTCAGTAATTGAGGAACACAACTGCGTCGAATTTGATTCGTCTTAATGGGTGGTAGAGGTGGTGGTTTAGTGGACGTGAGTATGCGACCCCATCTTTAGGAAATAAAGTTTGTTCATACCGTTTGTTATGAATGTGGATTCTGTCTTTGATTAGATGGATGAGCGCTGAATATTATGAATTAATGAATTATTTATGAACGTTTTTTTAACGTGAAAGATCTAATTTTAGTTTGTGTACGGCTATTTTAGGAGTTTTCATTTGGGTTGACTATATATTTTTATCAACCCGTGTCCCGACAAGTGGTTTTAGGCTACTTGTCACTGAAGTGGAGCCAGCGTGCGGAGTAGAGAAATTGAAAAATATTATAACCAATACGACTACATAAAATCTGGTAACGAAGAAATAAATAAAAAGAAATTTCAAAAATAAGTAAGCCTACCAATAGCTACTTAAAAAAATGCTATACAGGGAGGCTTTTCTAAATGTATCCATCCAAAAGTATACGACACATTTATGAATGACTACCGCATTGTCAACACAAATTTTCATACCAATTTTTTTTTTAAAAAGTTTGTTTTTATTTCAATAAACGATTACAGTACCGAGTCTGAACCTCCTGTGTGAGTTTGGACTCCTTTATAAAATCCACCCTGTATAATACATTATAATAAAAAGCGACGAAATGTTACGAACAAAAAAAAGAATTTTGCAAATCCGATGACGAAGTTATGCCCGAACATACATAAAAAAAATATAAACATCCGAATTGATAACCTCCTTCTTTTTGAAGTCGGATAAAAATACCTACTTTTTACTTGTGTCTATGATTATAAAAATTAAATTATAACTTCTTATCACTTGACCATGACTACGTGACCCCCCCCTGGCACCAAAGCTGGATCCGCCCTTGGGCCCTCTCCACTGAATAGGTTAGCAACAGCGCCACCAGAACACTCTCATCACTGTGGCACAGAAAAACAATTCCATAGATATATTTATTTTTTTGCTAATTTAATTACTTCCTTTTGATTGCTTTGTACAACGTATCTAGAATGAACAACCAAACATAGCATCATAATCAGAAAAATGAAGTTCGGTATTGGGCTTATATGAATAAAAATCTCATACAAAACATACATACACAAGTCACTATCTATATCTTTCTATCTCAACTCTTTAGCGCTAAAAGTTGTTTTAAGTACATTACTGAAAATTATTAAATACAATTGTATGTAATAATTATTCTTAAATTATAGTATAAGAAATTTCAAAAATAACAAATATGTGATACATATGTATGGAACACTATCGTAACATGATCATACCTTTACACTATGAAATCAAACAAGAACAGATCAGATCATTTGTAAAATTTTTATTCCATTAATGAGACTAAAACAACAACACCGCAGCGAATACAGTTCACTCTAAACACAGTTTGATTTTCTAATCTAATTATATATTATTCGCGATATTTATAAAGCTGTACACGTATTTATGTGACTACAAAACTATATGTCAATTACATTACATCTTTGTAGCAGTTTGTTGTGAGGCTAAAACTATATAATTATGGCAGGCCTAAGATAGTTTTGAAACGAATTTTTGAAACATATAAAATTACATAACTTCATGATATATACTAACTTAGTTTTAAGATACCCACTTTCTGATTTTCATTAATTTAGCATATCCCACTACATTAGACATAAATCCCTCTCTACTTACAATTGGTTGGATGGGTACAAATCAATATAATAAAATTTAACACACATTTACATGCAATTCATATTAATACCTACAAACTAATTTTTTAAATTTATTGAATTGAAATATTTAAAATAATATTGTTAATGAATTAGACTCCGGGATTAATTTAATTAAATCCTTATAACAAATAAAACAGTTTTGTAATCATAATTATTTACAGAGATCATAATGATATTTAGTATAAAAAAGAAAATAATACTATGTTTAAATATAAGTATGTTCATATAATATAAATATATATATATATATATATATATATATATATATATACCTATGATTTTTGGTAAAGGAAGGCCATTTAAATTTATATATGCATTGTGGAATGAATTTATTTGAACTACAGAATTTATTTTTAATGTTAAAATGTGGACTTCATACTTAATTTTAATTATCCACTAATAATACTACTTTTCTTCAGATATTCAAAACTTTATGTGGTTATATATTCTATTATTGATTAAAATGATTATTGTCAATGAAATGATATTTAATCCCAACAATTAAAAAATTCTACTCTACAAAAAACGAATAATTATCAGTTGGATACATACCAACCGAAGTAAATATAACGCAAACTACGATATGCAATTAATCATGACCTTAATTAAGGGTAGGTTATATTAAAAGAGTTGTATACTATGTATCTATAAAGACCGTACAGCTGTTTTCAGCACATATGACAATTTTGCATATACAATGAAATTGTGTTGTCATGTTAAACATTTCATATTAAAGATTTCCTCTTGTTAGACGATATTAAATAAATGCGATTAAGGAAATAATGTCCGATTTTTACATTCATTAAAGCTGATGATGAAAGGGTGAGGTTTATGTCTTCAAAACGAATTATCTCGTACTGCAACATTTTTATTTAAACCCTTATACCGGGAAAAGCACAAATAATATTCTTACTACAATACTCATCATAAGCTCTTATGCTTGGGTGCTGATTAAATAGGACCGAGATTAAATTAGTTCAATTATGTCATTAAGTGATAAATATGTTCCGCACAAATAAATATCATTTTCGCGATTCGATTTATTGTACACTAGCCTTAATTAAATTTCCGTCTTTTGGGGCAGTGAGTATTTTATAATATCCATAATGTTACAAGTTACATTAAATACACACATAGAAATTTTAATATAACATAATATCAAGATTATGGATTCAGCAATCAACCTTTGTAATACACTGGAGTTTTAAACCTTAAGCCATTTTCTATAATTCAAACACCACCTCGCTCAATATTCATTTAACCTTCAATTGTAATTATTTGTTATGATTATTCTCAATTAAAAATCTTGGTTATATCTTTTCTATCGTATATAACTTTTTGAGTCTGTGCAATATTTTAAAATAAATATAGTAAAATTGTCTATTATTTCGAATAAAGAAACCCAATTATTAATTCTTCCTCTAAGATCATAGTTGATTATTCCTCTACCAAGGCACTCCTTTTATTTACAAAAACACCAAATTATATTATTTCATTAAAGTTTAAATAAACGTGTTTTAAGTTTTGTTAACTCTGTTCAAGAGATGTTCCAAATTTTGTTTATTCAGAGTTTACTTTAATATCGCCAAAAAATATTGGTTTTAAAATGCTTGGATTTAAACGTTTTTTTTGCATGTAGTTTTCTTTTATTCCTTAATAACAGTTTTTTTCGGACTGCTGTATCAATAAAGGCAAGAGGAATTTTACAGCCGATCACAACTATAAATAAATGTTAGAGGGCCTCAATGTCATTTTTTTAAAAACGTAAAATATTAATGTACAACCAATAATTTTACCCATATTGACTAGCGGTATCTTTATGTGCACTTATTAATTAGAATGGTATCATTATGAGTTCCATTATTGTTAATCTGTATCTAGATAAAAATTTTGCTTTCACAAACTAAAATAAACAGAGTTGCCAGATTTTAATGCAAAAAATTTCCAACAATGAATTTCCACAGCTGTGTATTTCAAAACTGATTCTAACATTTCCAAATATTTAAATTCTCCCATAATCCGGCATCCCCGTCGAATGAGCGTACAGACGAAGCGACCAGACGACGTCAAACAATAGTGTACACACGAAGGCAACAATCGCTAGGCTAACATGGATTCGGCCGACCTTTAGTCGGAATGCGTCCGGCTCCATCAGCCCATCGAGAGGTTCTTCACTATGGCAACTTCGTGGCTCCGCCGGTTGAGCTCCTTCGCCTCCTTGGTGATGTTGGACTCGACGAGCATCGAGTGCCGCTTCGCGTTCAGGTCCTTCTTCCGTCTGACCACGTCGGGACTGTACGGCTCGGATACCCGCCTGTCGAGGTTCGTGTGCTGCGCTTGGACGTTAGTTAGCGAGCCGTGCCTGTGTAGGGGCGGCTGCGTATCCTGGCTGACGGTAGGCAGGTAGGTCTGGAACGAGGGACGATTCTGCGCGGCCTCCATGATGGAACCTTTGAAGGAGACACGAGTCGTTAGTTGATAGAGACGTTAGTTATTTTTTTTTTGCGCCGAACGCATCGCGTACACTAGTGTGTGCGGTGTCGTAGAATCCCACACACACAAACGCAGTCAGAATTCTCGCTGTGTGAGCAAATGTGAACGCAGAATGCGGACCGCCGGAGCGATGTGTTCGGCGCCTCATATAAAGAAGGCGATACAGTAGCCGGTATGTTACTCCTACAATGCGTTACTTTTCGTTTTGTGAAAAGAGTACTAATTAGTATAAGGTTATTGTAATTTTTCAGAACAGTCTGTCAGTTTCAAATATAGTGGAGTCAATCTGCAAATTTAGTTCATCAAATCCAAGAAATACTTTAAGTGTTACTTTCCGTTACTTTTTTTGCTTAAACATAAAATAATGAGAGAAATAATATAATATAAGTAAGCGTTATAATTAGAACCTTAAAAAATATGAAAACATAAATAATGTTAGGTACATTATTTATGTTCTACAGTTATAATTCTTAACTAAATGATAATATTCTATCAGAGTTTACTTACTTTTACTTACTTACTTTACTTTTACATACAATTACTTTCAGTACATCAATTATTATTGGTAAATCATTATAATGTATTACCCATTCCAAATAAAATAAAGCGAGTAAAGTCCACATAGATATTTTGTTACTGATTTTTTGGTCTTATTTCGTAGATCTGATGAGCTGTATGAATACATACCAAATCCGGTATAGAAGACAGAACAGTGGACGTCTAATCATTAGTTTATTAGTCCTTGGTCAGTCCATTGACCGGGGAAGTAAGATTGGGAACAAGTCAACGGAAGAAAAGAGAATGTGGGATGGGGAAGAGTGATAATTAATAATAAACATAAACTCCAATGCAGTACTTTGGAATATATTTCCTACACAATAATAACCTAATAAAGCTTTAATACTTTTTATTTATTTACTATAGTCCCATAACCATTTCAAAACCACTAACTCAACCAGGATAAAAGAAGATAAATTAAATATGCACATGCAGGTATGGAATTTATAACTCGAGCATAATTTAAGAACTGATATTATATCATCTTTAGTATGCTACCAGGAATGTCAATTTGTTGTAGCTTTTAGTTAAAATACGAAACTACATAATGATAACATCCTAAATATTTACATTTTGACATTAAGAAAAATATGTTTTATACAGAGATATTCATGCGAAGAGGTATTTCCCAATTAGCTTCGATATTTCTGAACGAATAAGCGCCCAATTCAATAATTCAGCACAAAAATATTGCCCGTAATATTTCATTTAATATCCTTGACCAATTTCCTGGTAGCAATAAACATTTCTATTTGAAATATAAAACATTCATGATTATCATGAAACTATATCTAACGATTCGTCACTAGATATCTATGTGATTGTTAGTAGCGAGGATGGTCACTAAACAGGCAATGGACAACAAACAACAGAAATAGAAACGCAACGCAATCACCTCGGCACTGGTGAGTTCGATCGTCGGGTTAATGACCTACAACGGATTAAACGAACAGTTTTAATTTTTTTAATTATCGTTACAGAGAAATGAACTTTGCGTGTTGACTGTACTATCAGCTATTATATATTGTGCAGATAATTATTTCAATGATAAAGATTAATTATGCAACGTTGTATCGTTGCATATTTAATCATACATTAATAAACCTCCATCCATGAATGTGTTTCTTTTGGCTCCTATAAATGTTGTAATACTTGAATTAAATTATATAACTTAGAACTCACATCGTTCAATACATTGTTTCAGTAATTCTCACATCTCTATAGCGATATTACATACAGCGCAACCAATAGGAAACATAAGAAACTAAGCCATGATATTCTTTATATTATGTCTGAATGTTATTATTTAAGAAAACAACATAAGTCCACAGTAACTAAAAACATTTTCATCCAACTGATAAGTATAGAGAAATGTATATATAATATATGTAATGTAATATGTAAGTTCACGCACAAAATTTAAATGAGTTTGTCCAAATTATCCCGCCGCACACTAAAAATCTTTCCGCCTTTTCTCCTACACGTATATGTACAGTTATTTAAACGGTGTTTTTTTGTAGATATTAAGGGCCAATCTCAATATTCTATCTACAGATAGATTTGGTTACTGGAGATAGAAATTTGACGTAAGTATTATGGAGCTAATATCAAATACATATCGCTAGCTACCAAATCATCTGCAGATAGAATATTGAAACTGGCCCTAAATAAATCCACAGAGCAGTAAAGCCATCTATCTATACTCACATTTAAATTTTGCGCGACTTTTGCACGTGTGTACTACATTGTACTTCCTAATTAGTACGGCTTCCGATATGTTCGGATATAATCAGTAGACAGAAGTGGGGGATGGTGCTAGTCGGATCGTTGGTTTAGACCTTGCACATACCGAGAGTACGGACGAGCCAGGGCGTTACGGATTGCTTCTGGTTCATCTGCATCTCGTTGAGGGCGGCGTTTAGCTGGTGGCTGAGTTCCTGGAAAAAAATATGATTAATGAGTTTGGAACGAATGGGCAGGTCCATCCGGGGAAGTACCACGACCTCACAGAAGACCAACATGTTACACTTATGCGTTTCTTCTGGTGAAGTAACCGATACCCACGTTATTAAAAGATAGGGAATAATACAATATGGGAACTAGATAACTGATAAACATACTTTTCTTTTGTAAATAAATACATATTATACATATATAGACACACACCCAGACACCAGAAAAACACTACGTTCATCACACAATATTCCTCCGGTAGTGGGGATTGAACCCACACTCCAGCGCAGGAGGCAAGTGCACTACCCACTACGCCATTCGGGTCCATTGAAGGAAGGAAGGATAAGAGAGTTTAAAACCACTACGGGTTATCGTAGTACCTGGTTGCTGCACTGCGCTTGCACGTGGGCCAGCTTCACCTGCGCCAGCTCCAGCTCAAGGTCGCGCACGCGCTGCCTCAGCCGGGCCTCGGTATCGCTCGAGCCCTCCTCCTTCGCCTCGCCTTTATGCCCGCACTCTGTCAGTCGAAATAGAACTTAAATGAAAGCACACAAGATTTAAATTCGTTTGATGTTCAACCGTTAAGTTTGCTTTATGCTCGCATTCTGTCAGTTGAAATATAACTTAAATGAAAGGCACACAAGATTTAAATTCGTTTGATGTTCAACCTTTAGGTTTGCTTTATGCTCGCATTCTGTCCAGTAGAAATATAACTTAAATGAAAGGCACACAAGATTTAAATTCGTTTGATGTTCAACCGTTAAGTTTGCTTTATGCTCGCACTCTGTCAGTTGAAATACAACTTAAATGAAAGGCACACAAGATTTAAATTCGTTTAATTATCAACCTTTAAGTTTCCTTTATACTCTTACTCTGTTGGTTGAAATAGTACGTCATTAGAATATGTACGTCATATATGGTTTAATTTCACTTTATGGTTAATTTTATGTATTAAAATGATTAAGAAAAGACATAAAGAAGATTCTATGTCGCTGGTAGATAAATCTGACTTGACGTTACAGACATGATAAAAAAAATCGTTAATAAAAAGACCACCTAATTATAACAATAAACAATTTTTATTAATTATAACATCAAACGATTTTCTATGTTTATTGAACTTAAGGAAATTCAATATATCATTATTTTCAATACTTTATGTCCCTTACCTTCTTTATTATCCTTCTGTGCGAGCTTAAGGCTGCAATTGACGCAGTTCTTAGCATACTCCTGTAAAGACCGAATTTTTATAAATCAATAACACTGAGTATTAGGCTATAAGGTGAATTATTCAGGAAAAAAAATCGCCTAAGTAACGTCGTTCAAAGACCTATACATTTATCGTGTGTGGGACATAGCCTACCTGCATTTGATGCACCTGCTTGTCGAGCCGCGCGCATATCTCGCGGTAGTCGCGCGCCACCGCCGCGTAGTGGACGGACTCCTTCTGCGCCTCCTCCAGGGCGGCTCGGGTCTGTGGCGGAAAAATACAGCGTGTTCCAATTTCAGTTTCAGGTTCAAGTTCAGTTTAATGGCTGTCTGTAAAGACAAGTTCAAATTATAAATAAATTTAAAATTATTAATAATTATGTATAAATTTACGTGTAAACCATAGGCTGTTTTTATACTTGTAACACTCGCGTTCGAAGTCGACCGTTAGATTTTTAATATATTAGCTTATAAATGGTTAACGACTCGCATTCAAATTTATACATTCGCACTGAACTCCAACCGTAACGGACTCACATTCGAATACAAACTAATTATTTTTTAGTTGAAATTATATTAATTTAACACCTTCAGAAGCGTTATTTCTTCTGAACAATTGCTATCCTATCATAGATTTTACTCTTTTTTCTCTTTGCCTTAGAAATATTGTAATTTGTTTTTTCAATTTTTTAATTTATTTAGTATTAAGTGAAGTAACAATATTTTGTGCATACTTTTCTATTTACCTTTATTTTTTTTGTTTTAATTTTAAACATGCTGTGTTTGCCTCTTAATTAGATGTACATTAAGCTGTAACATTAACAACTACTGGTAGATCTAATAAATAAATAAATAAACAGACCTGTGCTAATTGGGTTTCGAGAGATTCCTTCTCTTGCTGGAGCTGACCGCTGCTGACTTTCAGACGCTCGAGTTCCACGTTTATTTTCTCCTTTTCAGCGGACTCTGAAACATGACCATCCAGGTCTAAACAACTACTACTAAAAGAAAATATTTTAATAAAATTTGCAATAACATCTTCGTTATTGCACTGTTACCTATTGTTTTCTTGATAATGGTTGGTTAATATCTTCGGTTACTTTTAAACCCTTACACAGAAATCTATTTCGTGGAGAAATAAATAAGCTTTCGTGTTCTTAATTCAAATACAACACACAAAAGCAGCCAATTTCATTTAAAAATGGGATACTCTTCGAGCTATTGGACGAGAAAGCATAATTTTATTACAAATCAACATTGTAATCCATCCATTGCCCATACCATGACTACATAATATTAGTGGTGAAGCAAATATTATTTAAAGGATTATTATATCAACTAAATTTATGATGGCGTTATTAAAGCTTGAAGAACACTAAGATAACATTCCACATTATAATTTACGCGAAGTGTACAATTAACTAGACTGGCATACCTTTGATGAATTTCTCATATTCGAGCTGATACTTGTGCAGACGCTTCACTTTGATGCTGCAGGCGAGCTTCACGATTTGACGGGAGGACTCCTCAGCGCGACATTTCTTGGGCAGCGTCACTCTAAAGACAAGGAAAACAGCGCACGATAGGTTTAAATAATGCAAAGCAGCACATTTTGATTTAAATACTGGGCAACGCTTGACAACTATCTCATCAGTAGAATAAATAGAGTTAAGTCTAAGACGATGATGACTCCGTGGCGCAGTTGCCAAGGTATTTATTGGCTTCGGCGTCGAGGGTCGTCGATTCGATTCCCCATACGGAACAACTATTTGTGTGACCCGCGAATAATTGTTTCGGACCTGGGTGTTTGTCCACGTGAAATTTATGTGTGTAAAATGTCCTATAGTAATGGAGGTAAGAAAATCCGAAGGGAAGACTACAACAGATCTTTCTAGGTCGCGATGGTCATTGGAACGTAATAACTAACTACTTCCACATAAAATAAAAATACGAATAGATGCTAAACGCACTAGCTAATTAACAGTCTATTCACATCTGATTTGAAGACACTCCCATTTATAGAACTGTCTTTCACTATACAGGGAGGCTTTTCTAAGGGTATCCATTTTTTTAAATTAAATTCTAGACATATACCTATAATGTTATATAAAATGATAAATATTTAAAATCCCTTGTAATTAATCAATAAATTAATTAATTACATTCATTTGAATGTCAAAAAGTACGTGATTTATAGGCAACTCATTTATTTTACGCACGATCATTTATAACTAACACGCACACAAAGTTCGTTTCAAAAGTATACGACGCCGTGCCGGCACGGGTCGTATACTGATTGGCCGATTTATCGTGAGCGCTTAGTTTTGTATGTGCGCGTGCATAGTAAATTTATGAATGACTACCGCATTGTCAACAAGTTCTGTTCTTTAGGGAATAGAATGGCAATTTTTTAAAAAAAAAATGTTTGTTTTTATTTCATTAAACGATTATATTACCGAGTCTGAACCTCCTGTGTGAATTTGGGCACCTTTAAAAAAGCCACAATGTAGTTGCACAATCGAATTCGCATACTCAGCACAATGATGTTGGCATTGTTACGAAAGTATTCTACCCTCTCGCTTGCACAGCCCCTTTCGCACAGTACATGTAGTAGGTTTAGCTATCAGTGTTTGACAGCCATACCACTAATGGAATACAAAGACTGTACAGTGATTAAAGAACAGGTAACAACCATGGTGCAGTATTTTTCTTTTTTATATAATATATTCTTTCTTATTACAATCAACATTTAAGAAGGCAATTAATTTATCGATATTCGCAAACAAATACATTGAAATGTCACCAGTTCTGTTGCACTTAATGAAGACATTGCTGTTTTTGTTAAGCTAATAGGGGTGTACCTGAAATATTTGATAATTTGTTTTTTTTTTTTTGGTATTTGGGATGGGCAAGACATAAAGAAAGCATTGTTCCACCAGCTGACACATTGTGGGGTGTTTTCAATAACATTAAATGATTAACAAAACGTATTTGGTTTGATTTTTTATGGCTGTTCAGTACACAAAAAATGTTTTCATCAAATCAGTTTTTTATATAAAAATGAAAGGAATTCTATTTCTACCTGAGATGAATATACATGATTAAAATATCATTGATATGGCTGTCTCTGTTAAGCTAATAGGTGCGAACCTGAAATATTTGAGGACGCCTTCAAAGTCGTGCTGCAGTAGGTCCTTCCGGGAGCGAGAGAGCAGAGCGAGAGCAACCTGGAACAGGGTGTCCATTCCTTGCAGCAGGAACACGTCCAGAATGTGGTAGACCTGTGACAAAACCATTCAGATACATTAAAACATGTAGAAAAAGTACGAAACGATTGTCGCCGCTGTGGGAATCGAAACCACGTCTTCGGCATTCGCGGCCTGACGCTCTAGCCACTGAGCTAAACGGCTGATAACCACAGAGACGAAAATCTTAACGCCTTCTTTCTACATTGTTATTTAGCATTTGAATTTTATTTAGCATTCAGATACATGTTACGCTCGCTATAATCATAACTATGATGTCTCGAAGTGCTAGAAACCATTCCATACAAGTTACGCTCGTTATCATTGTAGCTATGATGTCCTGGAAATGATTTTAAACTCTACTTAGATTCAAATCCACGTAACATATACCAATGAGTTGCAAATGTCAGAAAATTGTGCCTCGTTAAAAAAATAAATAGGTGACAAAGCGTATATACAACGGACCTCAGGAATTTATATCGTGTATTTTTTTTAGACTAAGCTCCATGAAGAATGTGTGTGTATCTTCAGCATGAAGTCATAAAATAAGAAGAAAAGTTTTTCTTCTTACTCTACCAGTAATCATAAATAAATAATATTAAAGTAAATATAAAACACTCATAAATATATCTAACATATCATGATGGACATTTTTCTATTTTATCCATTAATGTCATAAATGATGAACTCGTGAACATCTTTGATTATGGTTTACTCTGTTACCGGTGAGAGATCAAACCTGGATCTTGATTTAATCCCAAGAATTGACTTCAGGCAAGCGGAACATCGTAAATATGCTAATATCATTAACAACATGATTAACTTGTCGTGGATAAGGTCACGAAAAAGAAAAAGGAGAGAAAGAAAGATAGGGGATAAAGGAAGAAAGAAAAGAGAGAAAGAGAGGGCGGGAGTGGGAAAGAGGTGGACTCACCAGGGGCAGAGGGAATCTCGCGGTGAAGACGGTCAGGAACCACTGGGAAGCGAACATGTGCGGTTCCACGCCCAGCTCTTGGAAGTGAACGCGCAGGTCGTTTAATTGCTCCTGAAAAGCAAAAACGTTACTGAACGAAACGAATGAAAAAACTACGACACCAGAAGTGTTTCAGTATAATAAATATACACTTATATTCCTTCCTATTGCCGGGAAAAGGCCAGCTTCTCACTGACGCTTTTAAGGCGTAATCCACTACGCGGCCTCGTTGAGGATTGACGGACTTCACATTTTTATTTCTGAGATGTGCAGATCATGGAACCTTGTTCAGTTTTTGAATTTTAATTTCTGTTAAAATTGGCAAGCCAGTAGGCGGTACACCTGATTTTAAGTGAATATTTCGAAAATATGTAAATTATACATATCCGCAGTGGTGGACTATGCCTTGATACGCTCTGTACAGAGGAGAAGTTTAACCCAGCAGTAAAGCATGTTACATTACTTTACATACCTCCATCAGCCTGTCCAGCTGATGCAGCCGCATGTAGAGAGCTTCGAAGCCGTCCTTGTATAGCTCCCGGAGACCGTAGCCGTACATCAGACGCACAAGCAGACAGAACGCTTGTTCCTCGGGCATCTGAGGGCAAATCAAAAGTGGGGAACTGACAACGGAAGAACAAAAATTATATAAATTATGGTAACCAAACCTGAACGTTGCAATCGATAACGAGTATTTGTATAGTATTTACGGTGTTAGGGCCACGCATCAGTCTCGGCTGTTACACGAACGGGCAGGCCCGTCCGGGTAAGCACCACGACCTCACAGAAGATCCGCGTAAAGTGGAAGTATGACAAATACTTTCGCGTTTCGTCCGGTGAGTGAGGTAGCCGGAGCCCAATTTTCAAAAGGCTGTCAACGCATCTGTAACCTTCGGGTGTAGCAGATGTCCATGGGCGGCGGTATTCACTGAGCACCAGGTGACCCGTCTGCTCGTTTGGCAACTTATCGCATTAAAAAAAAATCCGTTAATTAATTGTCCTAGGGGGCAACGCGGACGCACTCACGTGTAGCAGCAGCGTAGCGGCGAGGAAGCTGAGCCCCTGGCAGTAGCCGACCTCGTGGTCGTAGACGGCGTAGGCGCGCGCCATCCGTAGCAGCGAGTCCTGGCCGAGGCCGCCCGCCTCGCGGAAGAAGTCGTGCGCGGGGAAAGTGCGCGCGATGTCGCGCTGGATCACCGCCTCGAAGGGGCAGTCCTGGTGGCGTCGCGAGTACGTAGTGTTACACTTTGTGTTGTTACGTAAAGAAATGTACATGGGTTATACCTCGTTCGTGGTAAAGTAGTTGGCGTATATCAAACTATAAAAGCTCTACGATAAAGTGCTTCCAACCATGGTCCGTACCAAATGTACAGTTCATCAAACCACAGAAATTCATTTGGGATATTTGTGAACTTGAATTACTTAAATCGTTTATTTCCATAATTTTCTGTACTGTGTTAGTAATATATTGAATTGATTTAACTGCAAATGAAAAATGATCAATATAAGTTATCTGGTAAGTGACATATTAACTGGAGTAACATTAAATTTAATTCATAACAAGAATGACATAATACACCTTCATAATAAACATGTAAATATTTCTATATACATGACACTAACATAGTACTGACATAGAGTAAACAGATCTACTTTACAAGAGTTTACCCGTGTACAAAACGGCGAGCCAAAGACTACACACGTAATATACAACCCGGTGGCTATTTGACCCGGTTCAAGGAGCGGATAATGCCGCGTGCTGCGTTTACCTTGCTTATAAGAGTCCTGTACGTCTCCATCAGCTTATCGTTCTGGTCGACGCCGGCGAGCCGCAGCCAGACCTCGCCGCGCAGCGCCTCCGGCACGCCCACGCGCACCAGCTGCCCCAGCGCCCGCGGCCTCGCCCCCACCCAGCTGGGAACACCAATCGAATCGTCGCAAAGGCCGGAGGACACTCTCCCCACCAATCGGGAACCCGAGCGGTCGTGAGCACGCCAATCGGAAAGAAGAGCTAACACGGCTCAAGGGAAATCGTTTGGGCCTATCGTTCTTTTCCGTATTTTATTCCTGCTCGGACCAATTGTTCACCTTTAGAAATAAATTTTTAATACTTTTTTCTATATTAAAATTTGTAGAAAAGTACGAAAAGATTGTCGCCGCTATGGGAATCGAACCCACGTCTTCGGCATTCGCGGCCTGACTCTTTTTGTAATTTTTCTACAAATTTTAATGTTTAATCTTAAGTGCAGAGATTAGCCCTATAAAGAATTTAAACTTTTTCTACAGCCAATTTCTTTGGTAAATTTCATTCATATTCACGAGTACACGTCACGTACCGAAGAGTTTTTTTATTTGTTTCGTAAGGTATTTAAAATAAATTACAATTTTAAAGTTAGTATTAATTTTAATGGAATAATGAAAACTCACCTTCGAAGGACTTGCGCCCAGTTCTCTAGCACATCAACGCCGCAATCTTTAGATACCTCTCCAGTACCACTCAACAATGGTTCGTCACCATCTATAAAAAAAAACCAAATAAAAAAAACCTGTTTATATGTATATGAATTGCTCTGTTGATACTTTATTCTCATAACATAAAATAAATAATTAACTCACAATACAAGCTGAAGATAATGATTAATTATCGGTTTTTTTTTTTTTTTTTTAAAAACGCTGCCCTTACTTTAGGACAATATTATCCTGTGTTGTAAAGGACGTTTTACAAACATAAATTTCACGCGGACAAACACCCAGATGCGAAACAACTATCTGTGTCACACAAATACTCAACCCACGACCCCCGATCAGAAGCTGTCGCCAAGTCATTTTAGTTCATTCTGACTGTAAATATAATAATTTTGTAAGGATATTTTTGATTTGGTAGACCAAACTTCATGTGTAGGTGTGCTTATTTCAAATGATATTTGGAATAAGGACAATATCGTTACATTTCAAATAGTGTCACTGACAATTTGAGTTGAACACTGGCGTCTGTAACATTACGGACGTCATAGTATGTCCATTAGTGTTCGGGCTGAGTTAGCGACCTGAATCCGGCTCGGAGGGTGAGGGGGGAGCGGGGGCGCTTGAGAGCGGCGAGGGCAGCAGGCTGGAGAGCGAGAGAGGCAGATTCAGGCGCGAGCGGTCCAGCTCGCCGGACGTCTCCACGCTGGTCACCTCGTACTGCAGCTGCCCTAAGGCGTCCAGGGACTGCGGAGATAGATGAATAAATGATAAGGTAATATTTTAGAGATAAATACTTAATAAATGATTAACAAGCATTTCAAGACATATTTTTGAGATTAATATTTATTTTTGTGACAGTCACTGCACGCGTGTTGCCTAGTCCCAAAATGAGCAAATATTTTAGTATGGGAGCTTGGTAGCTGACATACATAATTAAACATACTGCTCTTTTGTATATGAATACACATAATAGTAATACATGCAAAAGAAAAAACATTAATCGCGTTTAGAAAGTTCTGGGCAAAACACTACATTGGTAAATTGTGGGCTTGGTTCTTGCATGAATTACCTAAAGATTTAAGGTTTAATTTTACTTAGCTAAGACCTAAGGTTTAATACTTCTCTCTACTGGATATAGAAGTGGTGTTAAAGATATAAAAAAATATTCCGTTGTATGAAATATTTGAAACAATACGTATCAATGGCGTCATTCAAGGTTTTTAAATGAGTAACTAAATAACAAGAACGATATATTCGCAACTCAAATTACCTCTTTGAGATTTATGTAGAACTGTTGCACCAAAGGCCGCTTGGAGTAATACCAAAATCTCTCGGTCGGTGGGTAAACTTTCACCGGGGTTTCAATAATCAGCCTGCAATGAAATATTGCAACAATGCGTTTATTAAGGTGAAAGAAAAAATGAAACAACAACAAGGGGCAATAAGAAAAATATAAAAGCCCAGTAATTAGTCAACAGTGGGAGTACAGTGCTCGATTAAATTTAGTATAACAATGCGTTTATTAAGGTGAAAGAAAAAATGAAACAACAACAAGGGGCAATAAGAAAAATATAAAAGCCCAGTAATTAGTCAACCAAAACCCGGTGCCGTTACCTGAGCGGGTCCCTGATGCCCCTTATAACGAGATACCATGTGGCACACATGAGAAGGGGTCCCTAATGTACCTTTTGAGAGTTCTAATATAGGTCGAACCTAAGCGGTTCCCTGATGCCCCTTATAACGAGATCCAATGCAACACGCACATGAGAAGGGGTCCCCCCTAACATACCTTTTGACGAGGTTCAATGCAGGTCGTACCTGAGCGGGTACCTCATGCCCCTTATAACGAGATACAATGCGGCACGCACTTGAGAAGGGGACCCTAATGTACCTTTTGAGGAGTTCCAATGCAGGTCGTACCTGAGCGGGTCTCTGATGCCCCTTATAACGAGATCCAATGCGGCACGCACATGAGAAGCGGTCCCTAATGTACCTTTTGACAAGTTTCAATGCAGGTCTTACCTGAGCGGGTCCCTGATGCCCCTTATAACGAGATCCAATGCAGCACGCACATGAGAAGGGGTCCCTAATGTACCTTTTGACGAGTTCCAATGCAGGTCGTACCTGAGCGGGTCCCTGATGCCCCTTATAACGAGATCCAATGCAGCACGCACATGAGAAGGGGTCCCTAATGTACCTTTTGACGAGTTCCAATGCAGGTCGTACCTGAGCGGGTCCCTGATGCCCCTTATGACGAGATCCAGTGCGAGCGACATGTACGCCGGAGCGCCGTCACCGCTCGCCACATTGAAAGCGGCCAACGCCGACTCTCCGGCATTCCACAAGGCGCACACCGAACAGCCCGAGCCGCCGGAAGCGCCGCTAACCTAAAATCATAGAAAGTTATTAAGGAAATTATTGATTTCAAGCTAATTTTTTCAAGCTAGAGGCACCGGCTGTCTGATAGTTGGTGTCGTGTCCCACAGCATGCTCTAATTTTTTTAATGTACATAGGTGGCAAAGAGCCGCCGGTTGACCTAATATTAAGACACATGACAACACCAGTGGTTGCAAATGTGTTGCCATCTTTTAAGAAAAAGGGCCCTGAATATGACAGTCATCAGATGAAACACAGAAATATAGGTCTTCTATTAAGCCGTGGTACTTCCCCGGACGAACCTGCCCATTACTGAAACAGCAAAGGCTGCTGCGTGGCGCTACCGCTAACACCGTTTTTGGTGGGTGTAAGCTGTTCATTGAGTGAAAATTCAGATGTCGACCTCATTAGGAAGTGTGAGCCAATTACTGTTGCATCTTAACATGCTTTAAATTTAATAATCTCTCTGATACTGTCTCAACCAACCATAAATATTTTTTCGAGGCATCAAATTAAACACGAACTACGCACCATTTCGAGCAATCTCATATCGGAGTGCTTAACGCTTCGGCCGGGCGCGAGGAGTATACCGAAGCATCGCTCAATGTATAGTCCACCGCCGGTATACGACACCTTGAAGAATGACCAAAACGTATAGATTAAAAATGGATAAAAAAATCAACAATACAACTTCATTGAACCTCGCATCGCTAGTAACAAGGCCAGTTCTAAGTATTTCATTAAATTTAAGCAAGGCGTTGCGCAGGATACAGTTTACTGCCGCCGGATAGCGGTGGTGATATTGCTCTCTTCTTCGCGCCATACTTTAAATCTCTACCTGTTCTTTTCCCTCCCACTAAACATTTTTATTTTTTAATTTTGATATTAGACAAGGATCAAACTAGAGATTTCGGGTACGGAGATATAACTACATAGGTACAATTGACAAGAGATCAGAATTAATTGTAATTCAAACATGTAGAATTTAACCCACCTGCGAATCGTCCATTTCCGCCTGCACGTTGTTGGTAACCTGCTGAACGTTTATGGTCACCTGCTTGTCTATGCCGCCGCGCAGCTTGAAGCCGAGGCGCTCCTTCGGCACATGACTGTAGGTGCCCTAGAAAAATTCCAAACGCAGTTAAACCGATAAGTTGACATTATAGTTGGATTTATTTAACTTCTTAGCATAATAGACGATTACGATTTAAACAAAAGATCTCTTTAGTCCAGGAATAACGTCTGGAATAATTTTGGTTACTTATTCCATTTTATTTTTATCTTTCAATCTTAGTAAGTTAGTCTGAATAAGGAATGAGGCGTCCTTTATAATACTTGCCATGCATTGTCTTGTGTTGCGTATTCATTTGTCTATGGGCAATACATGTCAAACATTTTATAATTGATGTCGAGTGTTCACTCATACACGTAGGTACACCTTGTCGTCGAGTGTGCACTCATGCACCTACATGAGCTGTATAGGCGTCTCTTGGCGTCGGTCTCCTTGACGTCCAGCGTGCTCACCAGCACGTGCATGAGGGGGGGCATATGCATTGCTTGACATCGGTCTCCTTGGTGGTCATAGGCGTACCTTGGCGTGGTCTCACTCGACCGTGCACTCCAGCATGTGCAAGAGGTGCATATGCGTACCTTCACGTGGTATCCTTGACGTCAAGCGTGTACTTCAGCACGTGCAAGAGGTGCATAGGCGTACCTTGGCGTCGGTCTCCTTGACGTCGATGTCGAGCGGTCTCCACGTGCAAGAGGTGTATAGGCGTCTCTTGGCGTCGGTCTCCTTGACGTCGAGCGTGTACTTCAGCACGTGCAAGAGGTGCATAGGCGTACCTTGGCGTCGGTCTCCTTGACGTCGAGCGTGTACTTCAGCACGTGCAAGAGGTGCATAGGCGTACCTTGGCGTCGGTCTCCTTGACGTCGAGCGTGTACTTCAGCACGTGCAAGAGGTGCATAGGCGTACCTTGGCGTCGGTCTCCTTGATGTCGAGCGTGCACTCCAGCACGTGCATCAGCTGCATCGGGGGCGCGGCCGGGCCGGCGGACTCGGTGAGCGAGCCCGTCATCGAGGGCGCCGCGCTCAGCTCGCCAACCAGCGACGACGCCATCGAGCGGGGTATGCGCTCGAACGCCTTCGCGAAGCAACCTGGCCACAGACCGACATATATAGCGCGATGACTCTGAGCTCTTTTCCTCGGCGAGGAGGAACGTGCGTTCAATTCCACAAGTGTATTGTGACTAACAATAAATCGTTTGGGATTTGGATGATTGTTTCGCGTGGTGGAATTCGACGTGAGGACCATAAATAAGACGGTTATGAACTCCTCCCCCACCCCAAATGGTGCCATGTAAGTTTCAGTTCAAATATTTACTAAACATTCGAAATTTGAATTATTTATGACCTTTTAGTATTACCGTTTTAAAATTTAATCGGCAACTTATAAGTTCAGTATCCACGGATCCTACATTTTAGAGTCGTTTTCAACAATTGTTAGTAACATCAACAAATTGTGGCTAATTTTTAGTGCGCAGACAATCGTTTTACAATTGATAGCAAATATATTTACATTTTTAATTTTATAATACTGGCCTTACGTGTATGGTTTGAATTATAAGCCTCGCTCCCTAAGTCAGCAAAAAAAACAACCTAGCTTGCTATAGTAACACTTACTTGAATGTTTATTAACCCATAATGGGAGTTAATGGGGCAAATAATAATACGGTTAATGATAATAAAAACAAAGTAAAACTCACTGAAATATTTAAATACTTTTGAAGTCAACAATCGGACCCTATTGTTGATACAGAGTATTTTTATCTTTCGAGTAACAAGGCACCATTAAAAAAAGGACGAAGAACTACGAAATAGCGGGAAGCCTGCATATGCGGGTGATTCAGGAAGTTTTCATGACAATACATTCATTTGCCAATTATTGACAGTTGAATAATGACTATTGTTATGATTATAGTTTAACGACTTCGGATCTCTCCAGACAGACATCAGCTGTTGTACCGTCAATTTCTCGAGTGAATGACTGAAGAGAAAAAAAAATGCTAAATGCATCACTGTGATTATAAATTTAATGTTAGTCGAACAGATAACAAATGGTGGGCGGAAATAATCTCGTGACATTTGAGCGTCCGCGAAAATTAGGAATTAACTAAAAGCAAACATCATAAAATAAGAAAACAAAAATATTTTTGTTTAAATATTACGTTGACTCACCTTGACAAATAGAAAAAGAACAATAATTAAACTACAGTCAACACCAACTAGTTTTTAATTCTGGCACCATAAAAAAAATGAAAACACGACACACAACTGAGCACTGTTGCACTGGCAGTCACAATGAAAAATAAAAACATTCGAAACAATCCATCATCGCGCGATAAGCGCACTGACCTATTCTCGTGATTTTCATACGGCTCTATCGTTTCTACTTCGCTTATCACTTCCTCCAATGTTTACTCCTAAAATCGCTCGTCACTTTAGATCTTATCGTACCATCTGTTAAGAGATAACATTCTTGGGGTCTCCTGTTATATTTAACAAGAAGAACTTTAGGTTTCCGAATAAGTTAGTCCGAAAGGATAACTAACACGATGCCGATGCAATTGTTCGTGACTGTACAGGTTATTTGATCGTCGTGTTGTAAGCTACGCGACGAAAAGTTCACTGGGTCAAAGCCAGGGGAGACGGGGTGTGACGGCCATGGTGTGGTATTTAGCTTCGACGTAATTTGGATTAACGATGGCAGCTATTGGTTGGTGGATTCTAGTTTCCCGTTTGAAATTTACGAGGCACTTAAAGGTAAAAGATGTAATAAATAGGATATTAGCTTAGCTCCAATTTTCTAAATCAATTTAGGTTGGATTGAACGATGATTTATAAATAAATATGAGTTGTCAATTAATTATAACTGTAAAATAATTTACTAAAAGTCCACCCCATTTAAAGACACATGAAATGGGATGAACTCAAATTATAATTTCTTGGTTAGCTGTCCAATACAAAAGTGGAAACAAGCGAATTTGAAGTTATAAAGGAAAGAGAGTAATATCATCCGCCTTTTTGAAACGTATCCGGTAGGTGGCGCCTATACCTTATCTTTGGCGTTTTGTCACCGCCATAAAACATTATACTACTACATTGATTTTTAAACATACCTACACCGTCAAATTCACGACGGATAAGCAAACAAATTTGAGGGCAAATGTGTAGTACAAAAAGGATCGTGCTTGGTGAAAGTCTGCGGGTCGGGCTTATGTCCAGCAATGGACTATACAGGCTGAAGTGATGATAATGATGATGAAGTATCAAAAAGGCCTAAAATAAACACCGAACATCTTATATATATATCTTCTCATCACTTAAGTCCTTAAATTATTAAATATACACTATTGTAGCTGTACACACTGTGTAGTAAAAGAATATCGATTCAGCAGTAGTACAGTCAAGCAAAATTCGTATATACGTTAATGAGTTGATCACAAATTGAGAACATACACGTATGAAATGAAAACATTCCATTTCACAGGCATAAAGCATCCATCTCCATCCAGTAATAACCGTACCTCGTTCTCGTTTTAATCTTGACAAAAATAAAAACACTTGCTTCCTTTCTAATGCCACGAGTATCTCTCAAATGTAAATCGGAATTTACTTCCCCAAAGACGACTGAAAGTCGACTGCCAGCATCACTTCTTAAATTCCCTCCAATGCATTATGATTGAAACGATTGTGCTAATTTATCATGAACGGTTACGCAAACCTCGTACGAGCGCGTCTAGTTGGGTGCAAATATTTATATGTTAGTATTAAAAATGAACACATTACACTTTCCATTTGTTTTAAAAGTAGCAAAAAGACATTTGTACACAAAATTATCAATGGAATCATTGAATATAATCGTGACATATATATGATTCGGGTTGTGAGCTGACTTATTTTAATTGACAATGACTTTAAAAATAAAATTTTGCGCCGTCGGAATTGAACCAACGTCTTGTAGATTTGCGCTTAGACGCTTTAACCACTAAGCTAAACGTTACTAAACTAATAATCCCCGTAAAAAAATTATGTATTGGAAAACTATCGAGAGTTATTACACAGAACGCTAGAAATAGGCAAAGCGCTTTGATTTATACACGTGTAAATTCTTTGCGACATTTCAAAGCAACACCGTTTTGACATTAATATATTCGCAGCGGACCACTGTCAGTATATTTCGCACCATAGAGTAAACAGTCTTTGTCTCCGCCATTGAGTAAAGCTGTTTCGTGCAATAAAATTAAGTAAAAACAAATAATCTAAAAAAGAGCGGGCAAATAAGATGACATTTCAACAGAATAAGCCACAAATTCAATGTATAAAAGTATTCTTCCATTAACGCCAAGTCGCTATCAGTTGTTAGTGTGGCGCATAAAGATGTATTGATATTTCCCACTATCGTCGATAATGCAATGTTACTAAATAATCAAAATGTGAAATAAAAACTTTTTTCATCTAATGTAAATACAAAGAAACTATGTAATTATAAATTAGTTGAATTATAATTTTTATAACCATTTTATTGCACTATGAAATTCAATTGTTACAAAATCACGAGTATAATGTATTAATGATATATACAGTCAACACAATGAAAACAAATCGAACCAATGCCTACAAAATTTCTAAATTATGATTAAATTTTATAACTTGGTATCCCTATTAACACACAAATACGGTCGACACGAATATAAAAAATGCTTATACCCATATAACTATAAAGAAGCAAGGCTACAGATATAAATTCTGTTATAAAGCGACACGGTATCTAGACGTGTGCATAATCTAAGGCAAAACTCTTAATAGTCTGTGCAGACAGCCTTTTTCGAGAACGCCATACACCCAGTGGCGGATTTGCCCTAAGGCCCAATTGGCCCGGGGCCTTGGGCGGCCAAACGTGACAAAAAATTCACTGATGATAACAAGATGGTGATGGTCTCTAAGAAAGGGGCGGCTGGAACTTACATGGGCTGGGGCCTAGGATTGCCAAGACAACAAACAAACAAATCCGCCAACATAATAACACACAACAAATACAACACAATGTCGTTGCGAGAAAAACAATATATTCAAATATTATTAATTTTGATAGTGGCAGTAGTAGAAAGGTTTTTAAGTGGTAGTAGTAGAAATACGTCACAAGAAATCGCAAATACGTCACAAAACGTCGAAAGACGTCTCAAATCATCGCAAGACGCAACGAAACGTCAATAGACGTCCGACACAAAGCGCGATGGAACGCCGCAAAACGTCACAAAACGCAACGGAGCGTCACGAAACTCAATGAAGCGTCACGAAACGCAATGAAGCGTCACGAAACGCAATGAAGCGTCACGAAACGCAACGTCGCGTTGTGAATGGCGGCGAAATGTCGCCAATAGAAACGGGCAAGTAAAAAAAGTATATCGATATTTATCGTATCGACATTTTGAAAAACTATCGATAAATATCGAGTGAAAAATATCGATATATCGTCTGGTGTCGCATGATTATTCATACATATTTACAAACCATTCAAAATTCGTAAAAAAATAATAGACTTTAAGAAATTAATTGAAAAGATTTTTTTAAAAATAACGCTGCGCGATGAGCAGGCAGAGTATCTATAACATTAAACACGAAATCAAAGTTGCGTTAAGAATATATCGAAATTGACATAAATTCGATAGTCCAAAATAAATATCGAATATCGATATATAAAAAAAATATCGACGATATATATCGATAATTGTATGGGAAAACATAGATACTTTATGTATCGACATTTTTTGCCCATGCCTATTCGCCAGTATAGTAGTCAAACAAAGCGTCGCCGCACTCACTGGACACCTGGTTGACCGCCTCGGCGATGTGGCAGCGGAACACGTGGCAGCGGTACACCGCCGACTCCTTCGTCTCGCCGTGCGACCACGTGAACGCGAAGCACGAAGCCACCGGCGTGCCGGCGGCGCCGCGCGCGTAGAACGAGATCCGGTTCACCGCGTAGCGGGCCATCACGCTGTTCGTGTCCGCCTGGTAGAGCCTGCGGGGGCGCGGGACTAATTATACAGCTGCATCATCTCCGACCAAAGTGTGGCCTTGAACTTTTGGAAGCACGCAAATGGTTTCGACCGCACCGACGCGCGCGTAGAACGAGATCCGGTTCACCGCGTAGCGGGCCATCACGTTGTTCGTGTCCGCCTGGTAGAGCCTGCGGGGGCGCGGGACTAATTATACAGCTCCATCATCTCCGACCAAAGTGTGGCCTTGAACATTTGGAAGCACGCAAATGGTTTCGACCGCACCGACGCGCGCATAGAACGAGATCCGGTTCACCGCGTAGCGGGCCATCACGCTGTTCGTGTCCGCCTGGTAGAGCCTGCGGGGGTGCGGGACTAATTATACGCTCATCATCTCCGACCAAAGTGTGGCCTTGAACATTTGGAAGCACGCAAATGGTTTCGACCTCCCGACGCGCGCGCATAGAACGAGATCCGGTTCACCGCGTAGCGGGCCATCACGCCGTTCGTGTCCGCCTGGTAGAGCCTGCGGGGGCGCGGGACTAATTATACAACTGCATCATCTCCGACCAAAGTGTGGCCTTGAACATTTGGAAGCACGCAAATGGTTTCGACCGCGCTGACGCGCGCTTAGAACGAGATCCGGTTGACCACGTAGCGGGTGATCACGCTGTTTGTGTCCGCCTGGTAGAGCCTGGGGGGGTGCGGGACTTATCGTGAAATTAATGTTTCAAAAAAATAAAGAAAAAAAGAAAAGGAAAGCTGCATCAGAAAGCACAGACGACCTCGGAATAAATATTTTCATCGAATATGCATATTTTTTTATACCAATTTAAATTTAAAACAGCGTAGTATCAAGTGGGTACCAAGCTTGCGTGAAAAGTACAATGTCATGTTTGTGGAGTAAAACGATAAGTAGGATAATATGGAAACTCCATATTACCATATTACCAAAGTTGCCCCAATTAGTTACTCAAGTTCTGCCGGTACCACGTCTTCTTGTAAAAACCGGTCTCCATAAACCTTGTATACTCGAGAACCCATAGATTAATTTAAATTTCTAGAAATCGTTATTTGGTCCAAGCCTTCCAGCACTGATGCCGCAATTTGTGCGGTTTGCGTCGACGAAATGTTCATATTATGGTTAGGAAAGTCTTGTTATGATAAAATAAGACTACACAATAATTCAACTGATAACGATAATTAAATTCGTACAGATAAAAGAACTTTGTAAAAATCAGTTTAAAACATTACCATATGTCGCGCAAATCTGATATCATACGAAAACTTTCTTTTTGCGGCTATAGTCTTTTGTTTTCTGATCGTTCCATTTTTAAATTAGCTTCTTTCAATAATTCTAAGGCGGTCTTCACATTTTCATTCAAGTGAAAGTAAAAAGTTACATTTTCATTTAAATAAAAGTAAAAAGTTACATATTCAGTAAAAATATTCATTTGCAAGTCGACCTGAAATTTGATACAGTTTGCGAGGCCGTCAGTATTACATCTAGGAATTATAACACCTCCACTTCACGCCGATCTTCTGTGAGGTCGTAGTACTTGCCCGTACGGACCTTTTTTTTCCGTGGGAAAAATCCTTTATGGATCCCCTGCCACTGGATCGGGGGAGTGGCAGGGGTATGTGGGAGTCCAGGTGAGAATCGGGTGCCCACTAAAAAAACCCACGTTGCACCTGTCTCTGTCGCATCGGCCCGGGACACGGGAACACGTGGATGCAGTCTTCCGCGACAAAATTCCCGGACGGACCAGCCCATTCGTGCAACAGCGAACTTTTGCTCTACCGCAGTCATATGTGTATCGTTCGTGTACATGAAAGAAATTATTAGAAATAAATAGACTAAGTAAGCCAGCTGCTGCAGATAGAAAGGAACCAAAATGTTTTACTGAATTTCTTTATCAAGCGCACCCTGAGCAACGGTTCTAAGGCGTGCAAATCGCTTGAAGGACAGAGAGTAGAATAAATAAACAGTGATAGTGGCCTTCTTTTCTTTTCCTAAGAGATGATAAACGCACTAACGCAAACGCACCGGAGATGATAAACGCACTAGCTGAATAAAACCCCGTCCACCATAGACACACGTGATATAAACGAACGGAAAGAGACAGAAGACACAGATGATATACAGACGTTCAGGACAGTTGACAGTGCAAAAGGAGACGGATATATCTCGCTCTCTCACTCACACGACCAGTCCCTGGGAGCACACGGGTATCGATATCGAAACCGCGATGCCGTCCCTGTTCTCGGGCATTGAGCTCAGCTCCTTCATGATGCGCTGGATGTCCGCCTCCGACTTGGGGTCGGCGATGTTCTGCGCGCCGAGGTAGCTCACGCCGCAGAACACCGTGCACTCCTGGTCCACGTCCGATACTGCGGCAACGAAAGAGGGAGAAAGAGAGTGAGTGAAAGCGAGATGGCGTTCATGATTGAAATGCGGTGTTTTACACGTCCGTCCCGTGTTCACTGAATCAAGATCGATTGATCGCGGTGCGTAGGATTTTAATAGTAAATTTAGAAAACAACTGGTCGTGTGCTGTGTTTACTTGGGCGACAATTTTCTTTCGTCCCTTAATAATAGACTTTTCACTTTGAGACAGAACCACGCTGTTACATATATTTTATGAACATTTACAGTAATTTGCGAAGTTAAGCGTTAAGTACATAGTGTACATAATTTTTTTATATGACAAGGCGGCAAACGTGCTGGCGGTTCACCTGATGTTAAGTGATAACCGCCGCCCATTGACATATGGAACACCCGTAGGGTTGCAGTTGCGCGGCCACCTATTTCATCAGACGAAACGCAGAAAGATAAACTTACACTAAACGCCGGTCTTCTGTGAGGTACTTACCCGGACTGACCTGCCCATTCGTGCAGCAGCCCAGATTGTTGTGTCGGCCTAACACAGTCAAGATCACAAAATCACGTAAAATCAATTCTCACAAAATTAAGTGTTCAAGGACACTTCTTTTGTTAATTGCTTTTTAGGTGGCGTAAATGCGAATAAACAGCACTTTTCTATAAATTAAATAAACTGAGCAATTACCGCTCTAGTTTTCGAAACGATCTAAGAAATCCGTAGAGATTTGAAACCCACGGCCATACAATTAGACTGTAGGGAAAGTTTCCTAACTATGTTATCCTATTTGAATCACATTTTATTGTAAACCTAACGTCAATACACTAGAAAATCAGAAAGGGCATAAACATTTCATAAATAATTAAAAAAATTGCTACTTAAAAAACCCCTAAAGGTTGTATTAATAATAATAGTATATTTTTATTTCAGATAATTTTTACAATCCATATTTATATATGGATTCTAAAATTATCTGAAATAAACATTAACAAAAAAAAATTAAGTTTCCGTTCTACTGACATTTGTTAGTAAAACGTAAACTTAAATTCTAGTGTTAGTATTAATAAGCAGATACCAACTAACATTATTAAAACATATTCATTGTGTCATTTGATGTCGATTGATTGATATTTATTACCTTCGTCATCGCTTTCGATCGGTTTCATGTGGTCATGTTTCTCCGTGGGCGATGGCGTTGAGATCTCAGCCGCTTGTGACCCATCCATCAGCTCGTAGAACTTTGAGCCACCAACAAGCCGACAGGAGTCCTGGACAAATATATGTATAAAATACCGCAAATATAATAGTTATACAAAGTACTATGTACAAATTGACCCCATCCGCGTAGTTCTATATGTTACTATGGACATTATCACTACATAATATAAAACAAAGTCATCCCGCTGTCTGTCTGTCCCTATGTATGCTTAGATCGTTAAAAATATGCAACGGATCTTGATGCTTTTTTTTACTAGATAATTATAGTGATTCAAGAGGAAGGAATAAGAAGAGATAATTCAAGAGAAAGGAAGAGAATATATATATATATATATATATAATTCCCTGACCATCGACTGTTTAGTCCTCCCTACCTGATTCTACATATAGGGACATATCATTATCATCCTCCTGCCTTTATCCCAGCTTCCAAAACCACTTATAAGATGTGAATCATGTTGTAAGTGGTGTTGTCTAGCTTTTTTACGATCGACCTCGTAGTCACCATCCTTGGGATCCGGAAAAATTATCCGTGGGTCACACAAATACTTGGCCCGTGTGGGAATCAAACCGACGACCTCCGCAGCCGAGGCAAATAGCTTAGCAACTGTGCCACCGAGTCATATGACGAATCTATATTATATTAACACGTGAAGTAAATCTTTGTATCCCTATTTAAGAAAATTGCGCGGGCGGGGGAGAATGAAATTTCGCAACACATATAGTTTACACAAGGAGATTTTTTGAGAAGTGCCCAAATTTACACAGGAGGTTCAGACTCGGTAGTATAATCGTTTTTTAAAATAAAAAACAGCTTTTTTTTTCGAAATAAAATTCCATTCTATTCCCTAAATTTAACTGTGCACGAACTTGTGTGCGTGTTAGTTATGAATGAGCGCGCGTAAAATAAACGAGTTGCGTATAAATCATGCACTTTTTGAGATAAGTTCAAATGAATATAATTAATTACTTACGAGTAATTTGAAATATTTATCATTTTTTAAAATACCATTATTTGTCTAGAATTTAATAAAAAAAATGGACACAGAAAAGCCACCCTGTATAGGGAAGAAGTGCAGAATGCTAATATTTTTTTATTATGCATAAAAAATACATTAATTCAATATAGAAAACATTATACACACATATTTGAAACATACACATATATACTCTTTTGTCATTTATTTAAGAATAGATTAATATTGTTCTAAGTGTAAGGTATCTGTCATTTTAATGTATTGGTCAGTCCGCCATTAAACGTCAAACATCATAGACCTCTTTCATTTACCTACTATATACCACATTGGCGACGAGGATGGGATTTTGGTAATTACGTGTGTGTATTGTCTAGACCACCGGCTTAGCAATGTCTATTGGGAAGATAGCGGAGTTTAAAGTGCACACTGACAATTGGAGATTGTATGTGGAGAGGCTTGAGCAATACTTTGCGGTAAACAAAATCGCCAGCGAGCTTCATGTGCCTACATTAATCACGGTCATGGGAGCAGAATGTTATGAGCTACTGGTGAGTTTATGTACCCCGGAAAAACCCCACGTCGAAAACATTTTTGGAGTTAACGAAAATTCTAGAAAACTACCTTCAACCCAAGCCTAGTGAACTTGCCGAAAGATTTAAATTTCGACAAAGGAAACAGAGGGACGGCGAATCAATTTCAGAGTATGTGGCGGACCTAAAAAAGATGTCGAAGACTTGCGAATTCGGTAGCTGGTTGCAAGAAAGTTTGCGTGATCAATTTGTATGCGGTATCAGTAGTGAAACGATTCGGCAACGTTTATTTGCAGATGGCAAACTAGATTTTGGCCAAGCATATCGTTTAGCAGTAAATATGGAGGCGGCGGAGAAGGACGCAGCAAGTGTTGAGGTTATTTCAAGGGCACCGGGAGACGCGAGCGCATCTACAAGCAGCTGTCACGCGGTTTTTAGTGCGAAGCGAACGGAGCGAGCGATCGGTTGTGACGGCGAGCGGCGCGCGGGCGCTGGCTGGCTGCGCGGCAAAGGACAACGGGCGGCGGCGGCGGTGCCACCGGTACACAACGTGCCACGTGGATCCACTTCGATGCCGGATGACCGACGGCAACAACGGCGAGTGTGTCGAGCGTGCGGCAGGGCACACGATGTAGTGGCATGCAAGTTTGCTCGCTACATATGTCGAGTGTGTAATAAGCAAGGTCATTTACAACGGATGTGTCCGTATCTGGCGGGACAGCATAGTGTCAACATAATACGCGATGACGACACGATACGACATGACGAGGTTGTAAGCAGTGACGAAAGTGACGAGGTAATCGTCAACATTAATCAGTTAAGCGTTAGGCAATACAAACCATTATTTATATCATTAATAGTGCATGGAAAGGAAGTAAAAATGGAATGTGATACAGGCAGTGCAGTTTCATGTATTAGCTATGAGTTATACAAACAGAAATTCAGTTCCTTGAATATTAAAAGCTGCCCTTTGTTGCTACGGTATTATACGGGTGAACAAGTAAAACCCCTAGGAGTTATTAAGCCCTTAGTAAGGTATAAAGATAAAGAAAAATATCTAGATTTGTATGTTATTAAAAATGGTAAAAGTATATTGTTAGGCAGACAATGGTTAGCAGAACTCAGAATACAAGTGCCCACTTTCGAAAGTATGAATTGTTTATCGAATGATGTTTTTAATTTGAACGATTTCAGTTCCAGATATTGTAAAGTGTTCGCGGACGGCCTGGGGCGGTTCACCGGTTCGCCAGTGAGCATACGCGTGCGCGAGGGAGCTGAGCCCGTGTTCCTGCGCGCGCGGCCGCTGGCCTATGCTCTGCGCGCACCCGTGGAGCGCGCGCTCGAACAGCTGGTGGCGGATGGTATCCTCACGCCCGTCGATCGTTCCGATTGGGCGACGCCAATCGTGCCCGTAGTAAAGAAAGACGGTAACATTAGGATTTGCGCTGATTATAAACTAACACTAAACAAAGTAATAGAAGTAGACCGTTATCCATTGCCTAGAGTGGAAGACTTGCTAGTGCGTTTACAAGGAGGGCAGCGATTTAGTAAGATAGATCTCTCACAGGCTTACGCCCAGTTTGTGCTTGATGAATCAGCAAAATATACGGTTATCAATACACATAAGGGCTTATTTAGATATAACCGGTTAGTGTACGGCTTATCCTCAAGTCCAGGGATTTTTCAAAAACATTTGGAGCAATTATTTAATTTTCCCTACGTAGGCGTGTTTTTGGACGATATCATTATTACGGGACGCGACACAGAGGAACATATTACTAATTTGCATAAGGTATTTAGTCGTTTGCAGTCGTACGGACTTAGAGTTAAAAAAGAAAAAATGTGTTTTCTTCGCCGAGTCAGTCAATTACTTAGGCTACGTAATTAGTAAGGATGGCATTCGCACATGCCCCGGCAATCATAGACACTCCTATTCCCACGAACGTGTCAGATTTAAGAGCTTATATTGGAACGACAATGTATTATGCGAAATTCATAAAAAATATCAGTACTATTCTCGCGCCATTGTACAATTTATTACGATCGGGAGTAAAGTTCGAGTGGAACAATGCGTGTGATCATGCCTTTAAAGAGATAAAGCGTTTATTAATTTCGAGTGACGTTCTTATGCATTACTCGAGCGAACTACCGGTTGTACTGACATGCGACGCAAGCAGCGTTGGTATAGGCGCCGTCATCTCGCACCTGACACCGAAAGGCGAGCGGCCAGTCGCGTACGCGTCGCGCTCACTCACGGCTGCGGAGCGCGCTTACTCGCAGATCGACCGGGAGGCCCTGGCTATAGTGTTCGGTATAAGAAAATACCATCAATATTTATATGGCAGGAAATTCATATTACGTACAGACCATAAGCCGTTAACACATATTTTTGGTAGAAAAACGGGAATACCGGTTATGGCCGCTTCTCGTATTCAACGATGGGCCGTACTGTTAGCGGGCTATGACTACGATATAGAGTACGTCACATCCAATAAAAATTGTGCCGATGGCTTATCAAGGTTGCCGCTTGCTAATAATAAAGAAAAAACAATTAGTGAAATTACTTACGTTAACTTTGTGGAAAACTTTTTACCTGTTACTAATGAAGACATTAAGAAAGCAACTTCAAAGGATATCATTCTTAGTAGAATTGTCACTTATATTCAATCGGGTTGGCCGTCATTGTGTCCCAATGATGAAATAAAATCTTATTTTACTAGGCGTAACGAATTGTATTTGGATAGCGGATCGATCATGTGGGGTTATAGAATGGTAGTACCTTCATCTTTACGTCCTATTATTTTAAAACAATTGCACAGCAGCCACATGGGTATAGTGAAAACCAAGGGCTTAGCACGCAGTTACGTATGGTGGCCGAACATCGATGCAGACGTAGAAGCGATATGCCGAAACTGCGAAACTTGCGCCGCCGAAGCGGACGCACCACCACGTGCGCACCCACAACCCTGGCCATACCTACCTCCCTGGTCTAGACTACACGTAGATTTCTTGGGACCTTATAAGAGTAAAACCTTTTTAGTTTTAATAGATTCTGGTTCTAAATGGCTCGAGATAACGGAATTATCGCGGACGAATGCGACGTCTGTAATTAAAGTACTTAGATCAATATTCGCAAGGTTCGGTCTGCCCATCGAACTAGTGTCCGATCAAGGGCCGCCTTTCACAAGTATAGAATTTAAATCTTTCTTGAAAAATAATGGAATTCAGCAGAGGTTCTCCCCGGCATATCACCCAGCTTCGAATGGTGCCGCTGAAAATGCGGTTTTTATTAAACTGTGTAAAAGGGCAATTAAAAAAGCATATAGGGACAACGTCGATGTTGACACCGCATTACAAACGTTCTTACTGGGCTATCGGAACAGTAAACATAGCACAAAACCGGTGAGAGTCCAGCTATGCTGTTGCAAAGGCGATCTTTGCGTTCACGTTTGGATTTATTGCGGGGTGAGTGTGCGGTGCAGAAACGTGTGCTCGACAGTCAGCAGCGGCAGGTTGAGTATGCCGGGGGAGTTCCGCGTGAATTTGCCCTTGGCGATAAGGTTTGGGCGAGAGACTTCGGCAGTAATGATAAATGGGTAAAGGGCGTCATAGAACAAAAAGAGGGCTCGCGAAGATACATTCTCGGCAACGGTGACGGTCAACGTATTAAAAGACATATAGATCAAATAAGACGTAGGTCGCGCCTATCCGATGTTTTACCTGTCCGGATGTAGCTAATGATGTAGAAAGGGCTTCAAACGGGCCTGAGGATGAGTTCGCAGATGCGTGTTCCGATTTGCAAAACTGAAGGGGTAGCTTCTGCAACGGAGAGAAACAAGGAAGCTGAGGAAGCGGAGGGCAGCGATGATACGCCAGGAGATACTCCGGTTGTCAGCGATGCGGTTATCAGAAGCTCCCACTCCTCCACATTTATCACCACCGGTGACCCGTCCCAAGCGAATCCGTAGACCCGTTATTCGTTATAATTAATTATTATACCTTTTTTTTTTTTTTTTTTTTTTTTTGCTTAAAAAAAACATTTGTTAAGCGTACGTTTATATTATATTTTAGTTTATATACAATATACATGTATTTTATATTTTTTATTTTATATAAGTTTGGTATTAAGGCTGGAGGTGTAAGGTATCTGTCATTTTAATGTATTGGTCAGTCCGCCATTAAACGTCAAACATCATAGACCTCTTTCATTTACCTACTATATACCACACTAAGTTATAATTTTAATTAATTATAGTCGAATTTCGATCACTCGGCGTCCTCTAGTAATAATAATTACCTCCGGTAAGGACAGAGGAAGACAAATAGTATATTTCTCCACCCTGCGTTATTCACTTAGATGTCATTTATTAAATTATATTACAAGTTAGTTCCAGTACCGTTAATATTATAGAAAAAATTGCAGTAAATGACTGAGCTTATTTGAGACCTTTAATAATGGATTCGAATGACTTTGAAAACCATCGTTTACTGCAAGATGTTGTCATTAAGAGGCACACCACAGCTTTTTATGCTATATTCAACATTTAGTTACAACTTATATACAGTGAATTTTTCCCATTTTTTAAATAGTAATATTACAATGCTAAATCACACGAATTTTTTACTCAATAAATGATATTATCTAGTAGATAGCCGCGGGAATGCGCAATCAATACCACAAAAATCATCAAAATAGGAAACTAAGTTTTGATTAAAAAAAAAACAATAAAAGGACCAAATAATTTTAAGTTAATCATTAGCTTAGTTGAATACAGCGTACATTTACGGTTATTTTTAATGAATTGTAATGAAGTAAAAACGCGCTCGATTAACAATTAAAAACATATTAACATAATTCAGTTGTAGATCAGCTAAGATTAATATACTGCTAACGCATTTCACCTTCTCACACTATACAAACACACGATAAAATCTTATGAATCTCTGAATATTTAAAAAAAACACCCTGTTATCTATTATTTACCTTTTGTATTATCTGTAATTCTCTGAACGTCATCGTCTCAACGTGATAAAATTGACAACAGATTCCGTATCAAGGCCACGTTACTTAAATTATTTAATACTAAACACTATTTAATTTAAATACTAGTTGGTATTCCACAGGACGTGTACCACACAAAGGAACACATAATGAACTGAAGACGGCGAACATTGCATCGTTTAATGAATCACACGCTGCCCACAAGTAGGATATCGACGTGAGTTGGGCCGGGCGTTTGAAATTGTGTCATGACTTATTTAAGTACAGATACATTATCAAAATATAAAAACGACCGTCATAAAAACAAACTGTATTCGTTCGTTCTGTACAACAATGATAAGATATGTCGGTTTAAAAATGAAAACCAAGAAGTAAAACGCCGAAGACATAAGGCCCTCCGGATATCTCGCGAGTCCATCATCAATGAAATTAATATTGTACCACATTGGAGCTAAACTGAACGCAACAGAAAAAATATTTTTATAATCGGTCCATAAAATATGGAATATGGACAAACATAACAAAAATACAACCGAACTAAGAACTCCCTTCTATTTTAAAGTCGGTTGAAAGTTGGTTCCAATATTTCAGTTTAATTAGCGCGTCATTCAAACCGAATAAAAAGGACAGGACAACAGATGTTGGTATATAGAACCTACCGACTGAGCTGCGGATAGATAGGCATAAGTTCAACTCCCAGGCTGTACCTGGGCAAATACTTAAAAAGTAAATAATCACTTTGTTCTGAAGGCATGCACGTGCACAAAGTGTTCGCAAATAATTTTCTCGATTAATAGTCAAAGAACGAGTTTCGCAAACCAGAATGGTAAAATATGTATACTCTCCGCAGATGACCTTGTTCATCACTTATTACAGTATGGTCCGGTACCACGAGTAATCATATCATTTGAGGTCAATAACACGGAGCACAATAACAATTAACATTGTATTTTAAACTTTACAGTCACACGAAAAAAAAAGTTCGTTTACTATTTGACCGTCACACTCGGGTAGACAGATATTTGACTTAAAATTAACTGAGAAAATGGTTTATATTAGTAACGAACATAACGTTACGGGTTTTTGGAATTTGAAATACCGTAAGATATTGCAAACAGACTGCACAATTCACAAACATACCTCTATTGAAATATCCCATTCGCAACACGAGAGCATCCGACGGCATGCGCGCAAGCGATTCTTACGCACACAATGGTTCAAACCAAAACAACTTCTCGACAATTAACATCCACAATCAAAGATAGTTACACACCATACATCGGTAGAATGAATTAATTGTACGGTTAACTTTGTTTGCCTATTTTTTTATGTTATTTGTTTCTTGAAAAACATTGTTTTTACTGCAATACAAACAAAGTTCAGGACTCAAGTGGACCAACATGCAGATACGAAACAAGTATATGTGGATCACACAAATAGTTGTCTCGTGTAGGAATCGAGCCACGACCCCGTTATATATATAATACGATGATATAAATTAAAAAAAAAAAAAAACAGCCTAACAGCACAAAACAGGTAACTAAATTGAATTTAGTACGGTATAGTCGTACCTTGCTTACGTAAAATGTTCCATGATAATCTGATTTTGCAACGTTATCGTACTCGTAAAAAATTAAATTTAAGTAATAAAACATGTTCATTCAGGTGATAGAAGATATCATTTTTGCTTTTATTGCATTACGACAAAAGGAGAATTAGACGTTGAAGGTAAATTTGTATCGATTTTTTTAATGACTATGTAGTTACACAGCCACAAAATGTAAGGAGCCACTTTAAGCTTTTATTGTAGTTAATTTGATTCTAGGGAAATATCACAATAATAATATTGATGTAACTTTAATCACAATGAAAGACATGCTCAATCTTATTTGTGAATACAGTATCATCATTATATCTTAATCAAAATTTGTTAACAGAAGATTGGAGATTTATTATTTATCAATTGTTGCTAGTTAAAATACATCATATTTAACTTAATTTTTAATGTTTATTATTCCAGCTAGATAATTATAGTAGTGCATCATATCAGCTTTTTTGAAAAAAAAAGTTAGAGTTTGGCCATGCCTCTGCAAGCCCAGTGTGTGAGTGGTGGAAATTACTTCACATCATGTGAATTGCCTGCACACTTGCAACCTACTCAAAAAGCAGAAACAACTTGAAGAAAGACAAGATAATACAGTAAATATTATAATGTCATTCCTTTTTACATTAATTTACCCTAAACAGAAACAATAATTTGTCGAGAACAGACATAAGATAGAATTATGTAAGATATACACAGGACATTTTCTATATGATACAATATCATATGATATGATAAAACCAGGATTGAATAAGTATAAATTGCATTAAAGTACATTCTTACTGAGAATATTACAAAACAAACTGGACTATGCCCTGATACCCTCTGTACAGAGGAGGCCTTTGCCCAGCAGTGGGACAAGTATAGTATAGACTGATACTTTTAAACATATACAAACAAACAACATAATATTCCAAATATGTGTAAGGAATAATTTATTAAACTGCTTTGATAGATTGGAACAACTTGCCTTAACAGCAAGCAAGAAAACTAAAAAACGGCACAAGTGCGAGTCTGACTCTGTATGGAATTAAATATTTATTGTTATAGCAGCGACAGAAGTACATCGCGTTTCAAAATTAGAACTATCTATCATGGTTCATGAGATACCCTGGTGACAGACTGATAGAGAGACAGCGGAGTCTTAGTAATAAGATCCCATTTTACCCTTTGGATACGGAACCTTAAAAATGGCAATCATTCATATTAAAGGCAGCTAAAAGTATAACATTTTTATGGCCAATTAAATTTAATTGACAATTTTTTATTGCAGTGTAATTTGAAAACTATGGAGTAGAAATTGGATTAATTGGTATAGATAAGTAAATAACAATTTAAATGTAGAACTTATATGGTTCAGACCTACGGAAGTCTGATTTTAAAATAACCGATGTACGACTATGGCACTTTTTTTAGATACTCAGTCATAAATACTGTTGATGGTTAATACAAATATAATACACTATAAAATCGTCCAATTAAAAATTTATAAAATTGGCAAAAACTATAACAAAGGGTATGATTGGAAATATTGAATACTTTCAAAAAACTCTCTGCTATTGTTATGTCTAATAAGATTTATATTAGATTCATATTGCTCAATAATTAAGAGGACAGTGTAACTCATAAAATGCATATATAGTCAATCTAAGAAAGGATGAGGCATTAGTTGCCTCACTTAATCTACAAAAGTCAAATTTAGAAACAAACACTTTTCACAGATGTTTAAATCTGTAATAGGGCTGCTGTATATATGTTTTACCACAGAATATGTAAATACAAACTGTAAAACAGAAAAGGGAATTTGAAATAACAAATTAATTTTCAAATTTGACACTATTGTTACAATAAATGGATAATAAAATGCAGCTTACTAGCTTAAGCATGATGAGGTAACAATAAAACTTTTATTATGACAAATGAAACCCAGACAACACTTATGCAGAAAGAAAAAGCAATGGAAATAATCTGGGCTTTTGAAAATGAACAAAAGAAAAATTCAATCAAAACTTTTTTGTTTCTATAGACACACATAACAAGTACCAAGTTTTTACACATAAAAATTATAGTGTAATTCTACACTTCATGTATATATATCTATATTAAAGGTCTATTCCACACCACACTATAACAAAAGCCTTAATTAATATTGAATACCTGAGTTTTTGCACTTTCGTTTTTAGCAGCTGTAGTGCCATCCAAATCTCCCATTCTGGCCTCTGTATCACTTTCTACCTCAAAAATTACTTTATAAAGGTCAAGTCCTTCAGGAACGTTCGATTCAATATTTGCCTCTGGTCGTATTGTAAGTTCTTGATTTATTAACTGACTTCTGCTTATTCTAAGTGATCCTTGAAGTGACTCTGATATAGCCTACAATTATTTTACTTATTAATGTTTAATTAAAATACAATAAAACATTATGATTCTCATGGACTTGTGTAGAAATATCTATATCACAAAAAATGTCATTTCTTGATTGCCTTACTTTTAAGCATATTACTAAACGACTATGGAGAAATCAATTCTCACTTAAGTGTAATAAAAATATGAATTTTTGTTATTTTAGAAGAGTTTCGAATATTCAAAATTGTGTTATAATTGGAAAAACGACTATTACTAATACAAATGGAATGTACTCACGCGAAATATAGAAAAATCACTGAAAAACTTAAACTCAATATGAAAGCATTTGAAATCATAGGCATAGGACGTGAGAAACAAATGGCTGTTCTTACGTCGCTTAGTATGTCTTCCAGATCGCAGCATACATTTGTAGTGAGCACTGGGGTCGGACTCGGTGTACGAGATCTTCCCGAATAGAACTCTATATCAACCGGGTCCAATACCTCATTTGTGTGACACTCATTGAACTCCATCACTGTTTGCTGTTGCAATACATGAATATAGGTAGTTATACAAAACAATTCACAAACCCAGCAAGGAACGAAACGTTATAAGAAAATAAATGAAGCAATTTTACTATTCCTTACCCATTGATAATTAGGTTCTCTTACGAGAACAAGACATTAGGAAACGATGAAGAGGCAGCAAAAATAAAAGATAAATTCGAATAAATGAAAGATGCGGTAGGTACATATACTTTTATATTTACCGATAATTGTCGGATGGAGGGTCGAAAGAAACGTCAAAGCAACGTCAATTTGTAACACCGTTCCATTACACGAATGCCCTTCCTTTTTCCTTTACACAGTTTAGTTTCGTTAAATTTTTTAATCAATAATCACCAATACAAAAATTCAAATATTTTACAAGAAGACAATATAGATTGATGGTATACCATTGAACACTGATGGAAATGCCAAAATTGAAAGTCAAGCCAGAACCATACAAATAGAATTATATTTTTCTTGATGTTCTACTTTAAAGCGAGAGCTGCGGCGCCTCACCGGATACGAAATTCAAGTATATTAAAACACACACACACTAAGGACGCCGAAAGTTAAATACAAATATATCGATATTTTTATTACGGGAAACTTGGACACATTTTTGAGTCGTCAATACTGCAATGCCTCAAATCCAAAGTTTTTAAACAGTGCGTCCTACCAGTAATGATCTACGGAGCCGAAACGTGGACACTCATCGTCGTGCTGGTCCATAAATTCAAGGACGCTCAGTGGGCGATGGAACGCGCAATGCTTAGGGTTTCTCAGTTAGACAAGATTCGAAACGTTACGCGCAGAATTAGCACGCTGAAGTGGAGTGAGCTGGCCATATGTCCAGATGTTCTGATGGCCGCTGGAGCCAAAACGTGTTAGAGTGGACACCATGGTTAGGGAAAAATAGCGTGGAACTGCCTGCAGCACGATGGTTTGATGAATTTAGAAAGGTGGCAGACAACGGATGGATACGGGCTGCTCAGGACCGGGATAGTTGGCGCACTTTGGGGGAGGCAGTGGACGGCAATAGGCTGATATTGTATTGTATATCGATATTTATAAATATATGAATATTGGCCTCGATATATCTAAGAGAAAATATAAATATATAATATATATCGATATTTTCTGTTTAGGACCCATGGTCCAAAAAACAAAAACATATTATGTCAAGTATTAAATATTTCAAAGACTCTGTGCCGGATTCGAATTTGTAAATATCAATATAAAAAAAAAGTAAAGTAACCTATACATGTCCCACTGCTGGGCAAAGGCCTCCTCTATACAGAGGGTATCAGGGCATAGTCCACCACGCGGCCCCACTGCGGATTGGCGGACTTCACATATTTTCGACATATATATATATTTTTTTTTGGTATTATTTCGAAAATATACAGGTTTCCTCACGATGTTTTCCTTCACCGCGGAGCACGTGAAAAGTCAGCACTTAAAGTTAAAAACTTCATTGGTGTCGGCACCGGGGATCGAACTCAGGTTGCTCGAGTATATTGAATTAAAGGCGAGCGCCCGGACACTGAGCTATCACGGCCCTTTATATCAACATATTGGATCTAAATTCTATCGATATTTATAATAAATAATATCGACATATCGATTTTTTGGCATCCTAACTATGTGTCTTGTATGTATATTTTAAATTCTTCCGCCCTAAAGTACAATTGAATGTATTATGTCTTACTCAAAATATAAAAATATTGTGATTGCGTGTCCAAATATATTAAAGTCGTTAATTAAGCAATTTTATAGTTGACATATTCATTCCCAGAGTAATATAAAAATTGAATATATGAAATATATATATATATATATATATATATATATATATATCTTTATTATGTATGTTTATTTACTACTCATAATTTTTTTATAATATGGTATTATTTGGGGGGTTTTAGGGTGTTTTGACTAAAGGTTTAGGGACAAATATTTGCGAGAGTTGGTAACACTGGTCCGTTCTTATAGCGTACGTTAAAACGTCAAACCGTTTTGATAAATTTGAATTTTGATTTAATCTTCCCTAAATATTTTTTTAAAATAAAATAAATTGTTTTTAAGTGACCGAAATGGAGAAATCTTTATCAGAACACGATGTACTTCAATCTTTTCGATCCCCTCCACGACGAAGACGATCAACGTTTTTCGAAAGACGAGATTCTTTAGGTGTGCATCAATAAACAATGTGTTCTTTATTCCATCTATTAATTATTTTAAATAAAATTACATTTAACGAAATACGTCTAAATGTTATACCGTATTTGTTTTCAGTTCCCTTATCAGAAAATTTGGACCTAATCGCAAATAAAAAGTTCGATTTTAACGAAAAACGTACGCAAGAACTTCAAAGGTACTGTAGTCAATATTTTCCAATACATTTAAAAATATTTTAAATTATTTACAGCATTTGTTTCGGTGCATTTTCAGATATTATGACAAGCTTTTAAATGAAAAAGAACAGTGGAAAAAAGAAGTTAACAACCGAAGAAACAAATATCACGATTTAAGGCAGTAAGTAAATTTTTTATTGCATAGATGATGGAAAATAACAAAAAAATATCTTAGGTCATTCAGTTAATAATATTTACTTATTTCAGGCAATATCAAATAGCAGCCAAAGCTCCTAGCAGATCTAGGATATCCTATTCATCCTTATTAAATGAGGATATAGAATTCTTAAAAGGAAAAGTTGGTATAACAAAACTGGTTGAAAGCCAGATGAAATTACATAAGTCAATTAAAGAGACACACGCATTGTTTAAGAGGGCAATGGAACTAGATGATGTTATACTGAGCTACAGCGAAGACAAAGTTAGGAAAATAACAGAACACATACTTGATAGTAGTTCAGTGGAGACATAAATAAATTATTTTTGTATTGTAATTATTAATATCAGAGTAGATTATTGGTATATAAATAGGTTTAAGATATATGTACATAAATTGGTTATTAGCTCTGTGAACTGCATACACCTTTTCAGGTAAAAGAAAATTTAAAACGGTAAATGAATTTATTGGTAATATTCATGATATCAAATAAAATATAACAGTAAGAAAAGGAAATATGTTAAATATTTCCGTTTAAATTATCAAAATCTATTATTAGGCTTTAAAGGTATGTTTAAATTAAAATATGTATCTAGATATTGTTTAATGAGATTTATAGCTAGAACTATTTAATAAGTATTCTTTTCTTCCAAACAAAACAATAATATTTACTTGTAAATAACATAAATTATTGTAATGTCCCTCTTATTTTGTACTTTGTACATAAGCTATTGAGTGATTGTAAATATAAAATAATAAATAAAAAGTACTAATCAATTTGTTTTTTTTTCTTATCTAATAAAGTAATTAAACATATTATTAATCAGTAATAACAATTTATTTAAATATTTCATTATAATTCACAATTTCATTTGCAATACATGTATTCAATTAATGATACCATTTCGTAACATCATTGACAGATAAAATCATCCAATTACATGAAATAAAACAGCTCATGAATTTATAAGCATAGAATCAAATGTTATTTGGTATGTTGAAGAAAAGTACTTTTCAATATCATGTTTCCTATTAATTTGAAAGATGTATATAAAACCTGTAGGATTATATAAATTTTGCCAAAATTCTTATAACATTGGTATGTATTATAAATTAAATTAAAACAGATTAGCTTTTTTAAAAAAAACTAGAAGACAATAAAATAAATAATAATGTATTAGATTCATTTATAGAACTATTTCATAAATGAATGGTGAAAATTATGAAAATAAATAGCTTCTTATTATAATTTAACTTACAAGCATAGCATTCATACACATATACACTTATTAAAATTATTCAACAATATTACAAAATTATAAAAAAAATTTAACATAAAACATTTAAACAATCTCAATATCAATATTTTTTAGCAATATTGACAAGGAAATTTTTTGTATCTTCTAAATGCTTAATAGTGAAAATTCATGATGATTAATTATTATGGCCAAAACACATTTAAACTTTTTTGTTTAACTATAAATTAAATAAAACAAGATATTGGAGCTTATTTCTGCACTTATCTGTATTTTTGAAGGAAAGTATATTTAATTAAATATTTGATATATATATATATATATTGCTAATTGGTCACCTGTCAACGTTTTGCCACAATTACTATTAATTAGTTTATTTATTTAATTATAACTGGTTGCACATTTTTTAATAAATTAAATGTTGCTTGGAAGCTAAAGATGTTAAAAATGTTTAAAAAAGAAACCTTTTAATCTGCAGTATTCACAATTCAAATTACATTTTGCTGAATATTATACCCATTAAAAAATAGCCCCAAGTACTGGTTTTCATTTTTGATGATAGGCTACTCAACAGCACTGTATTATATTGTTTTCAATCATTCTTTTAAATTATGTTTCGTTAAAAAACAACTGCAGAAACAGCTTTTGCATCTTATATTAAAATATTCAAGTCCTCAGTACATAAACATGACATTTCATACATATTATGTTGATCAATCTGTTCTTGTGAGGTAATTTCTTGATACACAATGAAAAAAGAAGGAGGAACAGCTGAGGAATCTAATTGTCTAGTATGGCAGTATGATGCTATTGTGTGTTATATTGTAATACACTTCAGTCATTTAAAAATCTTCAGATTATGGTTCAGGAACTTTAAATCACATTTTAAACAAATGTTGTACAACTTATATAATTGGTTTTACCATTACTCAACTTGCTTGTTTTGTGTGGAAGCTTCGTCTTGTTTGTAACTTTTTTTCTTTTACAGTCTTGTACTCTCGACGACATGGGCTATTTCTAAGATCTAAAATTGTGTTTATTTTTTCAACTATTTCCTTAGCTGTGTCATGGTCACTTTCAAAATCATGACATTTGTATGGTGTGCTTGGATGGAAAAAATTTGAATTACCTGTAAATTCATTAAAAACAATTAGTTTAACATTTACATTGATTTCTATGATGAGTAATGGGAATATGTAATTAATCAATGTAAACAAATTCTTATTTAAAAGATATTAATTTGTACATCGCTATTGTCTGCACTCAAGATGGAGATTAATTTATTTTAATAATTTGTAGGAAAATGGATGAAAAGTTTTTCTAGCAAGTGTTTTGCGGGGATTTGAACCTGCAATCTAATGAATACGCGCCCGACGCTCTAGCCATTGAGCTAATCAGCTTATCTTCACAACAAATCAAAATAACTCAACTTATTTTATCTACTTGATTTTTAATGCATTTTTATGCAATGTTTGGCATTATGTAGTGTTTCCTTTACAGCAAATAATGTTTCAATCTTAAAAAGAAACAAGACAACAATAAATAATTAAGAATACCTGTATTGCGATCATTGAAGGCAACATTATGACTAGGTGAGTAGACTATTCTAAATGTGGTCTTATTTGCTTTGGATTCTAATATTTGACACCATGCAACAGAGTCTATACTATGCAGAAAATATTTTGATCTGGCCTGAAAAATAAAATAAATCTTAAAACCAATAGCCAGCCAATGTACCATTTTTTGTTTATATAAACAATTCTTATGATTTATGATCATAACAAATTTTTATATAAAATATATATTTACATTATACTTTTTTATAATAATATACATATTACAAAAGCATTTTCTCACCCAGAAGGCATGTTTATGAGTAACAAGGGGTTCTATTTCTATTCTGTCTAAAGATATAACCAATTGAACTAAGGTATTTGTTCGAACTTTTCTTAAAAGATGTACTTTGTACGCTTTACATTGCGGAGCTTCAGTTGCAATAATGTGTGATTGAATCTTGTCCAAATTTAGTCCACCAGCTCTTTTTTCTGCAACAGCAAAAAAGAATATGTTGTACTTGGTTTAATATAATAACAAGCTATGTACGGATATTACAGTAAAATATTATAATTTTCAGTGCAGTCAAGAATTACTGCTTTACCTTCATTAACTGCTTTAATTGCACTTCTAACTGCCTCTGAGGTGGAACTGCCTCCAGTATTATGCCTGGATGTATTATGATGACTTTGGCCAGAGTCGGAAGCCTTTGGAAACACATGAAAAGCCCCACTTAATACTGAGCAATCTGGAATTGAACTTGTTATCCTATCAAATATAATCTTGCTTTTAAGATCTATTAGACCAAGGCAAGTAAAGCCAAATTTGGAGCAAGGCTCATTAGCATCCAGGCAGGGGAATGCCAGATCAACTTCCCCATCATCCTCTGCTATGCAAAGTCCATAGTCGTGCACAGATCCAAGTGATATTTCCGGGTGTTCAATGCTGGGAATAATAACATTAAATGTATACTTTACTTGTTTTTACATTGATACACTTATTTTACAATAAATATATTTAATCTAATATATATATATATACATTCACTTATAAATGATGAGCATTATGAAATTATAAAAATTCATATTAATATAATTTTCATAATGAAACTAAAAAAAGGGTAGGGGTAAACCAAAATGTACAAAATTGAAAACAACATTACCTGTATTTGTAGCAGGTGAACCCTATCAAATCTTTGATTTTGGCGCTGGCAATAACACACACAACTAATGGGTAGTTTTGATGCTTTTCAGGTAGCATTGTCATGAAGATCTTAAATGATTTTATTGGTAGCCCTAGTTGTGCAGTCCCATCAAACTTTGCATACTCTAGATATTGACGGTGGGGGAGATCTGGACATTGCTCCAATTGCTCGGCCAATAGGGACTTCTTTTTTTCTAATTTCTTGACATCAATTTTTGCAAAAGTATCTGCCATCTGTTCAGCTGTTAATTGTGTAGGGGCATCTTCCCATTTTATAACTTTAATTTTAGCAGCTTTTTTTAATGCCTGTTCTTTTTTATCAAGCCAGAGTGTGGTGTTTGACCTTTGTCTAAAAGTATTATTTTTAATTAAGATACTGTTCTTATTCAATAAAAGTAACTTTGTATAAATGTTAAGTTAAAAATTATCTTAGGTTAAATAATGTTGATGTTTGTGTAATACAATTAAAATGAATTTTAAACAATACAGAAAAATCAAATTATTTTTTCAAAAACTAAGCCACTGGAGAATTCTACTTCTTGTGGATTATTAATTCATTAGTGATTTTTCTCTATCGTTTTAAATTTATTTTAATTGAATTACGCTAATGTCAATGTCCTTTACATTTGCCTTATGATATACTAGCTGCTGCCCGCAACTATGTCTGTGTAGAATAGGCTGAAGGCGAAACATTCAGACAGAAAAATATGTATATAAATTATGGCCTATGCGTTAGTCTGATGTAGTAGGTATTTGTGAGAAAGAGTAACAAACATCCATATTATGGATGGATGTTTGTTTATGTATGGACATACAAACTTTCGCATTTATAATATTAGTAAAGGTTAAGAGTGGAAATAATCTCACATGTGAAAAGAAGAAACTAATTTTAAGATAAAAAATATCAACCATGCATTTATTAATGTACTTGAAAAACCAATTTTTTTTTCTGTTTATATATATATATTATAATTATATAATACATAACATATAATTATATAACATTTCATTTTTAAAATAGCTAACTAATTCTATTTTAATTATAACATATAACTGTATTCAAGAACACAACATCAACATTTGCAGGGTGTTAAAATCATATTGGAAATTTATAAAAACTTTATGAAGATTTTACCTATATGGCAAAAAATCTTCGTGGCGGATATAGCTACCACATACAAGATCATCCTCTTCACTGTCTTCCATATCAGGATAAGCATCAAACTGTGTTACAAACTCTCGTTCGTCATTTATGTCCGAGCTTAGTTCTTTAAATTTACTAGTACTTGCTTGATAAGGAACTCCCTCCTTTAATTTTTTTTTCTCTTCCATGGCTTTATTTTGAAAAATTTTAGAAAAATCTTCACCTGCCATCACGATATCACACAAACCAGTGTCGTCGGTAGCAATGAACGCTTCCCTAATGTTTTTCAATAGCCAAATTTTGTTATCATATGTAGCCATGATCAAAACTTCATAAAATGCACCAAACAAGCTATGTTTAATTCTTTTTTATTTAATATTTATGCGATCTCTATTTACGGTCAAAAATTAAACACATGTCAGTTATCGCCAAACAAAATATTAATATCTGTCTAATGGCACAGATGACAGAAGATTGAAACATAAACGTAGCGGTTATATTCCCTTTGAAAAAATAAACACCACTTAGTTTGTGGTAATTATAGTTATAGACACAGGTCTTGCCATAGATAAAACATAATTATATACTGGGTCTTGCCTTGCAGTGGCACATCTGGATTTTAGTTTGGAAAATGAAGGAAACCTTAAATAATGAAGATTTAAAAATTTATGCACCCTTCGATCGCAATGCTGCCTAAGCTTTTCTTTGAGCAGTACACGCACATCGTATCAGTAGAAACTATTGAAGTTGGAGTATTGGAGTTGCTAGATTTAGGTTTATAAATGCGTTCAAACGTAAACTATTCTTTACGGCGAGCAGTTTACCTTTATACAGCCGGACATTAGAGTATCCTTCAAGTAGCACCTCATGGAGGTGGAGTGGAACACTGACGTTTCCCAGAAAAATCGAGAGTTCATCAACTTTGGGAAAACCATACATAAGACATATATACTGAAAATACGGGGAAAACTTTCAATTAAGTCTCACATAACTAATGTGGATTTAAGTCGTGCGACTATGTTCTTTTTCGTATTATATATCGGCCGGACATTAGAGTATCCTTCAAGTAGCACCTCATGGAGGTGGAGTGGAACACTTTGACGTTTCCCAGAAAAATCGAGAGGTCATCAACTTTGGGAAAACCATAGATAAGACGTATATACTGAAAACACGGGGAAAACTTTCAATTAAGTCTGACATAACTAATGTGGATTTAAGTCGCGCGACTATGTTCTTTTTCGTATCGGGAATTACAAGACCTGAACTTGTGTCTAGGACCATTTGTCATGTAGTATATAAGATTATAAAATGTTCTTTTGGCCGACATATTGTGATAATCTGTGGACTAATCCTTTTTGTTTTTGACATTGACATTGATTGATGGACAGCAGTCTGGCGCAACTAGGAACAAAAAATGTTTCTATGGACTTTACGCGGCAAATAATGGCGGATATTGCTATCACTCTCCCTCAATGCGGTTTCTTTTTCTTGCAATACAAGAAGTGCCATGTTGTTTGTCAAAACTTAATTTCGCACCGCGTATTTTGAATGTAAATGCTTATTTCATTGTATATTTAAATTGTTTAGAGTAAACTTTCTCACGAAAACTAATGACAGGTGATCAGAGTTGTAATTTTAATTCAAAATGCCAAAAAGACGGTGACCTGTGAAATTGGTGAAAATCGAGCAAGTCATTCGAATCTTGAAAAAAGGATGTTTATGGCGAGATTTCCCTTAGATGAAGCCCATGTAAGCACTTAAATATAATACTTTGCAGCCATATGTAGCCATAAGTAGAGCAGACTAAGAACAAATAAAATTAACAGATGTATCTTATGCACTATTTGGCTCGTTACGTTGGTACTCTTGTTGTTTGACATCTTTGTGGTATTTTTGTGGTATTGCAGTGCCGCGTAAACTGATATTTTTGGTTAGTATGGGAGTCCCGTCTCTTAAACGTAGTGATTACATTCTCTTTGATGGACAGAACATTTTAAAATCTGAGGTTTGAATTTTATAAATAAAATATAATTATATCATTGAGACAAACTCTCTAAGATTAAATGATAGAAGTATGTTAATACGTCTCGATATTTATGTACAATTTAATTAATGTATACAGTATTGACAACAAATTCAACATTCTAAAAACCCAAGAGTGTTTAAATATATGATGTAAAGAATTAGGAATCTCACGCAAAAGCAACTAATGATTTAGTTGCTTTGCTTAGTGCTTACAAATATCTTGAATGAACTATCATAATGATTTACGGTTAATTTCTGATTTAGTGGCACAAATAACAGGATCATGCTATGCTTATTTATTTTAATGTAACAATCTATAAATAAGTAATTAAGTATGTATTTCCTTCTTTCTTGGTTTATTTTATATTAAACCATGCTGTAATTGCCCATTGCCAGCATACATCGTCGCAAGGCTTGCATGCAATCATAATAAGATTTGTATGGTGGTGCAAGGGTAGCGTCATACAATTTTAACACTTCAACATATTTTTTAATTGCATCACCATATTTTCCTTCTTCCATTGCTGCATGACCCAACTTATACACCATGTCAGTGTCCTAAAACAAAATGCAAAGAAAAATATTTCTTCTTTATTATATGACCCAAAGTTTTAATTTATGGATGACAACTAAAAATTGATGTATGACAATTATTTAAGAATTCTCATATTTGTATCATGAGTAAAATTGATATCAATCAACAACGATTAATTTTGAAAAGTAAAACATGTTTTAAATTTCAGATTTTTACTTCTGACATTATAAATGCTTGAATTTTGCCATAATGGCAGATGATGATGAAGGTAATTTTTCAAACTTGTTTATTGGCTTGTTTCTGATAAAACAAAAAGCATAATTGAATAATAAATGTCTCTGTTTAGTAGTTTACTAAAAATAAGGTTGTTTTATTATTAAAATGCTCTAACTAGCTCTCATATTTTCCACCCTGTATGTAACAGTAATTAGACAATGATAGGTGACAATTAAAATTCTTCAAAATATGTACAAAATTATTTAGATTAGAAATAGAGATTACCAAACACTGTCTTTGGAATCACAACAAAAATTATCATACATTTCAGTTGTGGAAGAAGCAGAGGGAGTTCTGAGCGAAGAAGTTGGTAGTGCAAATGAACTAAGTCCAATAGAGACCGAAAAACCTCTGGAGCCACCGAAGTATGAGATTCGTCCAGGACTTGGTGAGAAGTAAGAAAACAATGCCTCTCTGATTTGTTACAAAATTTAAGTAATCATTTTTTATTTGGGGCAGCTTTATCAGATTCAAATAAAACATGAACATGTGAGATCCGGATGCAGAATTAGTGCACTCATAGAGTATTTGTTTAAAACCAAATTTTTTATGCATATTTATAATTAAGAGAATATGTATTGACCAAGTTGCCTATCAAAATGTTGCGAAGAAAATACAGACAAGTCGGTCCAAGTTACTTTGACCCTTAGAAAAAAAAAAACATGGCCACCTGCGAAACTTTATAATACAGAAATCCCACAATCAGACAACACCAAATACTGAGGTATCTATCTAAACTGCTGACTCACTTGGTGTGAACATAATATATGGACTAAAAGGAAGCAACTAGACTCCGCAATATGTACTGGCTCATTGGTTGCATGCTACAACTGACCGATGCTAGTAAAATGGCTATCTAGAAATGAATATTAAAGCCTATAATGGACTTATAGCATTCAGCTCTGGGGCACGTTCACTCATAGCAATATTGTAATCCTTGAATGGTTTCAAAGAAAAAAACATAAGAGTCGTGTTCAATATTCCACCACACATAAGCAATAAATATGTGAACCTAGATTACAATCTTCGAACTGTGAAGGAAGAAATTGAGTTTAATGGCAAGAATTATGATAGTTTGTAATATGTAGTGTTCGTTTAAACACAAAGAATCTTTTTATGAACTATTCTTTATTTTGTAAGGTTTCAACATGATGTAGCCATATGGTATAATTTTTATGTGTAGTTTTTTTAATAATTAAAATAATACTTTTGTGCAGATTTCAGTCTCAAAATGTACGTGAGATTATTGGGCAGACAATGAAAGAACAGCTGATGGGGCGTCAATATCGTTCAGACCAAGCACCGAAGTGGGCAAAGGTTATTGCCAATGCAGTGCGTCAAAGGGTGCAGGAACTTGGGATGAAAAGGTGATTTGTTTATAATATTTTAGTAGGAAAGCCATACTCCGATTAGTTTATTAATCACCTCACTTGATTATAAGTTATGAGTATACTAGCTAGCCAATCGGATACCAATGCTATAAAAACATTTCTGTCGGCTCCACAACTGATCGCATTGAGATACACACTAATCACAGATGGCCAAATGCACTAATAATGCTGCATTGGTTTCGTCATGCTTGTAGGCGACGACATAGTGTTTGGGTGTGCGCGCTATAACTATTTGTGTGTATAGTGTATTGTTGTGGGACCTCTGATGGGTCAGGAATACTTCTTCCCCCTTCCTCGACCTGGTCAATAAGGACTTTCGGACGACGTTTATTAGAGTATGGTTGAGTTTAGTTGAGTTTATTACGCCCCCTGGGCGATTGGGATGAATTTTGTCTCTCTCATAGAACCATAGAGCAAAGATATATCGCTAAAGTGATAACAATTTCATTGACTTAAAGCCATATTGCATTATAATTTATTCCACCTACCACAATTTCTTGCCACGCGGTTGAATGGTATGCGACCTTTGCAATACCTTTTTAGGGCGATTGCATATTGCATTTAAATAAATAAATAATTTTTTTAATTTTCTTTCCATTTAAACCTACTTAACATAAATCCAACCTTGTGAAAAAACCCATAAAAAGCGTTTTTTTTAAATACCTATATATTTCCCACATTTTTTTATATATCATGTGTTTATTGTTTTTTTTTCTAATGAATCATCATCATCATCATCATCATCATCATCATCATCATCATCATCATCATTTCAGCCTGTTTGAGTCCAGTTCTAATGAATACTTATATTATATTCATGAATGTGTTCCTTATTTAAGGTACAAAATTGTAGTTCAAGCAACGATTATTGAAATGAAGGGGGCGGGTGTAAAATGCGGTCAGCGGTGCATCTGGGATCCAGAGACTGATGATTATGTGGATGATTTGTTCAGGAGCGATACAATGTTCTGCTATACCATAGTGTATGGGGTTTATATGTACTGATCATAGAAGTTGTGTGTGTAATAATAGAATATGAGTTTGTTTAATATGAGTTTGTTTATGTGTACTGATCATAGAAGTTGTGTGTGTAATAATAGAATATGAGTTTGTATTTGTAAATAATAAAGTGCACATGCAAGTCATTGGTAGTTTTTCTGTATCTTTATACACACCTATTTAAAAAACAACAGAGCCGTGAATATTTCGACAAGTCAAAAATGCATACTTTTAGGGGCGCATGTTTTCTTTTAATCTTAAAAATTTGTTCGAAATCCTCTAAATAAAAGTACTGTATTGATTAAATTTTTGAATTTAAGAAAAATTAATTATGTAAAACGTACCATTTGTCTATACCGATTCACGAAGAATTTATCATTCCTATTCCTGTTTGAAAAGAACAGTTACGTGTCGTTCATATATTAGCGAGTAGGTAATCGCTAAAAACCTCAATGCAAAAAAAAAAAGTTAATGCTGCACGTTTAAGAACTCACCTGTAGTGATTTAAGGCCTTTCAGAATGTTGGTGTGCTGTTCACATAAGTCACATTTGATCATAAACTCCTGGCAATCGTAAGGCACCGCTATCACGTTGGAGCATGGATTGTCCGAGTCGCATCTACAAATAAAACCGTTACATTTGTGTTTGAATTTCTTTCTATTTTAACTTATGTACAAAAGGGAGCAAGGTCTAATTTGGGGCATCACTCACCATTAAATAGGATAACAAGAAGTTACAATGATGTTCATAATAAATGTATTGATGCTGACCCAATTGACCACGGTGGTAAGAAGATAATGAATGCTAAAACAGCAGCCATCGATATAATTGCAAACAGTTTATATGTATTTAAGAAAAATATTGCGAAATGCTTAGTATAAATTTATATCTTTTTATGTTATTTTTATGTCGACTGTTGTTAAAAATTTATTATTGTTAAAATTTTAATATTGTTTTTTCAATGTTATTAATTTATTATGTAATCAAAATATTTCACAGACGTTTACTTTTACTCCTATGTTTATTATAACATTTTCTATTTTACCTTCACATGTGTATAATGTAATGATAATGTAATGAATTGTTTTTTTTTTGGATTGATTTGAATTGTATTAGTTTAATCGTTGTTTTTTCAATGCTTAAATAATCCTGTTTCTCATGCAAATACCACATTTAATTGAAATGTCGTATATACCTATAATTGAGGTGGCACTTAACATGTTTTTCCGTATAATTAAAAATTTAAGTGTGAAAAAATTTAAGTGTACACTACACTTAAATTTTTTCAGTGTCCATTTCGTTGGTGTATCAAATAAATAAATAAATAACACACAATTTAAACTTTCCACGTCCATATATTTTATCCTATGTGTCCCTGTCCTATGAGTGGGTATATTATCGATATTTATTCTCCCCCTTAATTCATCGTTTATGTGTAGCAGATTTCATTATAGTTTTGAGAAATTTGCCACGTAAAACAAACATTAGAGACAGGTCTTTAGAGCTATCCAAGGTTCAGCTGTGAACTCATAAAAGTTTACATTTTACGTACAGTCGACATATTGTGGCATAATTTGTTATATAGAAATACATTATGTAAAAATGCTGAAAAATATTAAGAAAGAATTATTTCTTGCAATCACATAAGTATGCAATTTTTAAATAAAACTTTGCTTATTTCTTTTAAAATATACAAAGGCGGTCCAGAATAATTTCTATCCACGTTCAGAATCTACATTGTAATCTTTGCACTGTTTTTGGGGTTTGTACTTACTTAAACCTCATATAATTTTCAGTCATCTCTTCATACCGCGGCCAGTTTTGCTGGCAAGGTATACAAGCGCAATCGAACCAGTACTGCTCCTTCAAATCGGCTTGGCGCTTTTCCCTAGGCACGGTTGTGAAAATGGGCCCGTAGTTCTCGGCCACTTCTTCGCCTCTTTTTATGTTTTTGACAGCTCTAACGACGATGTACGATCCGCAAAAGTATCTGATGTGAAACGGGAAATTTGTGTAAGAATGAATTGGTAACAGCGACTCTTGTACTGTATAACAATGTCTTGTTTGAGAAAAAAAAAAAGACAAAAAAGAGGATACATACGGAGTTTCCTTCGCCTGTTTCTTCTCCTCTAGAGGAACTTCTTTACGAAACGGTGGAAGATTAAAAAAATGACTATCGATAGATGAAATGTATATTTCTTATTTCGATGAATAAATGATTTGATTTGATTTTGATTTTGATTTGACTGTGGTAGGGCCACGCAGCAGCCTCCGCTGTTGCACGAATGGGCAGGCTCGTCTCCGGGTAAGTACCACGACTTCGCAGAAGACCGGCGTAAAGTGGAAGTATAATAAATACTTTCGCGTTTCGTCTGGTGAGTGAGATAGCCGGAACCCAATTTTCAAAAGGTTGTCAATGCATCTGCGATCCTCGAGTGTAGCGGATGTCTATGGGCGGTGGTACTCACTTAACACCAGATTAACTGCCTAATCGCTTGACAACTTTTCACTTAAAAAAAAGAAACAGCGCCTGGTATTTTGTTGACAACAATGGTATTGTAGAGAAGTGTGAAATTTTTTGCTTATGCAATTATTTAGATTCGTTCAGAATTGTTATAGGGCGTACAGTTTAATCAAACCAGTGAAAGCTAACTCACGCCCGGTTTCTGAAACACTGATCATCGTAGATGTTAACTAATCAGCTGTCAAATGGCTTTTCAAATATCATTTGAGTTGCCAAAAGGATGGTTAAAGTCTTTGAATTGATCATTCGGATCATTAAGAGAATCGTTTTGGGCAATTCAGAGAGTTAACCATCCTTAAATAAAATTAAATTTGAAAAGCCATTTGACAGCTGATTAGTTGACATCTACGATGATCAGCGTTTCAGAAACCGGGCGTAAGTGTACTCTTGCCCAAATAAACACTGCGCTATGAGCAACCGCGCTTGATTTCCTTTAGTGTTATTCCTCTTTCATTGGTTGTTTCGAAAACAACATAATCCACAATAAGCTAGTAAGCGGACTTTTTCTTATATTAAGTGCATTTTACTATGCGAGAAATATTTGTTATTGCATATTCGATGACATCTTGCTTCATTCAATGACGTGAAGTGAAAGATTATCAGTTTAGAGTTATATGAAAGGAAGCCATAGATGGCATGAAATGGTACCATTAACACACAATGTGTTATGTTATGCGCGGTACCTATATTCAACGAACGGCCGTTAGTTACATAGCTTCGTAACTTTTATAACGACTTGTAGATAAAAGGCGTGTACGCCCGGTTCCTATATTAACAAAACAAGGCGTTTTCCTTACGAGCCGTTGCATTATCTACGGAAAGTGAGTTACTAGCGTTCCTTTAATCTACAAGTCTACTACTAACTAACGGCCGTTCGTTGAATATAGGAACCGGGCATTAGTCACGTTTGCTTACCTGACCACGCTGGGGTCGCATGAATGGTTGAAGAGAGCAAGGGTCGGGAAGACAGCCCCCGCCAAGAAGACCGATTTGCCGGTATGCTTGATAATGTTCTTTCCGACCCTCGGCTTGGGGCATTGCAACTCGAACACTTCGTGCGCGTTGAACTGAAGAATCTGTAGATTCCTCAATATCAGGCCGCCGATTAAATCCACGTCTTCCTTGTACTTCTCATCCACGCCCATCGACTTCAGCTCGTCGATTTCCACCGGCTTCTCTCTCGGCTTACCGTCGAAGTAGCCACTTATCTCCAGCAGCTTCACTAAGAACGCCGCCATTTGCGTCCTATGAAGAAAGTCCTGTTTCGTCCTCTTATCTTCGTGGGACACTAAATGATAGATAATCCTATAGTCACCGGTCTTATAAACGCCTTTGGGTTTTTCGTTTATAGTTGCAGCTACTTCGTTGAAGTAATCTCTTTTGTTTTGTGTGATCATCCGTAACGCTATGTGGCAGGTGATGGAGCAGCCCGACTTCCAAAGAACTGGTAGGATCTGGCATTCGTAGCCGTGGTAGGTTTTCTGGGCGACTTCCGAACACTTTTCGCTGCAGAATATCACGTTCGGACATCTCGGGCACGGCAAAGGAACTAAACATCTGAAAAATGGTGTTAATAAGTTTCGAAAGTAATTACCATTAAATAACTGGAATAGCCGGTGTATTTATTATTTTATTTCGTGAATAGCATAAATTGCTTATTAATTCGGAGTGGTATTTTTTTTCTTCAAATAGGAGAGTTTCTCAACTCGGATATAGGTTTTTTTATGTTTGTTACTTCAGAACTTGGTCATTTATGTACCCATAAAGGTATTTTTGCAATGGGTTTGGTTATTGGTAAAAAATAATCTTTACATTACATACACAAATACGGATAATTTTTCTAGACTATTCCGTTCAAAGTACGGTTCGATTTGAAAAGATATTTTTGTAATGATGTATTAATAATGCAGTTCCACTTCTCGCGGATTTTTTCGTCATGTTACTTCCCCGGACGGACGTGCCCATTCGTGCAACAGCGAAGATTTGAGTTGCGTATGCTTATACGACCGGAGGGTACTTGCCTAGTAAAACAGTTTTGACAATGCGTCTTAGAGTATTCCCCTAACAGCACTCCGCTGAATGGTTTCTCGATCAACAGAGTCTCCCCAGCCCGTACGTCTCTGGTGGCAGTAGCAAACCTCCCCCTCACTTCATCGTAATCGATATGCACGGCTTCGGACGCAGCTGGGTATTGCGGGTTGTTCTTTCCCGGTAGCTTCGGCCTAGGGGGCGTTTTATTAAGGGGCTCCGGGTCCTTTGGATTGCCGGCCAACGTGAGGCCCTTGTTCAGGATTTCCAACATCAATTTGGCGTCCGTTCGCATTTTTTGTCTTTTCTCCTTGTTTAGGCTGTTCGCTTCGTCTAGCGCACTTATGGTGTCCCTGTAAGGAATTTTAACGAATTAATTTTTTTTTATATGGAATGTTGTCAAGCCAGCAGGTGGTTCACCTACAAACCGTCTTGGGACATCTAAAACATCCGATGGTTTGCAGATGCGTTGACAACCTTTAAAAAAGTGGGCCCCTGTTACCTCAGTCAGCAGAAAAAATCGAATGTTAGTTGTTACTTCCACCTTATGCCGGTCTTCTGTGAGGCCTTCGTATGTAACCGGACGCGCCTGCCCATTCGTGTAACAGCAGTTGATGCGTGGGCCTACCACAGTAAAAATCCTTTCAATGTGTCCACTTTAAAAAACTTATGTGCTTGAAAGCTAGAAATAAATAAATATAAATATAAATAAATAAATTTTAGGACACGTTGTTTTTACACAACATTCTTTAGTCCCAAACTAAGCAATGCTTGTACAATGGGTACTAGAAAACTGATAGACATACTTAAAAATACTTTTCTTTTGTAAATAAATACACATTATACATATATAAACACCCAGACACTAGAAAAACACTATGATAATCACACAATATTTTTCCAGTAGTGGGGATCGAACCCACACCCTCTGGCGCAGAAGGCAGGTACACTACCAACTACGCCATTCGGGTCGTCAAATGAATTAGAAATGACCAAAAATCTCTTGATGAAACATTAAATTATTGGTAAATGTTTCTATTTTACTTGCGTCCTCTGAAAGATAATTAGAATCCTTCCACCCAGCTCATTCGGAAATCAACAAAAGACGATGTGTGGCGCTTTAATAGTTCAAATGTAGAACTTACTGGAAAGCGGTTATGGCTTCTTGATTTCTTTTCAGAACGAGTAAAGTTTGAGCCTTTCGTTCGTACACCTTGTACCGCAAATGCCGTGGATAGCCTAACGAGAGGCAACGCTTAATATCTGCTAAAGTCTCTTCATACTGCTCTAAGTGGTTAAGGGCAGCTGATCGATTTGCGTAGAGTATTGAAAGTTCTTCAGCTGGGAATAATAATTGCGTCAGCTGTTAAAAGGTAACGTGAGGGCGTTTAAATACGTTTTAAATAACTTTATTACCACATTACAAACGAAATTTTACTTACGTTTATGTAAGTATTTTTTTTAATTTTTTAATGCTTTTTATAACAATGAAATAGATTCCGCAGTTTTATTTATCGTATAAGGAAGATATTCTTTTGTCATTAATTTGGACTAGACAAATACACATGTAAGTACATTTTATGAGGTCTACGCTAAAAACATCAATGCTGAAATATTATTAGCATGATTTTGTGTTGTGTGTTTAAGCAATTTGACGTAGAAAATGTTTTCCATAAGAGATGAATTACGTTGTTTTTCCCATATGAATGGATTATTCTTATGATATCAGCCATTCTTCATCACAACTTGCAGAGTGCAGAAATATTAGGTAACTAACAAATTAGTAATGTATACGCATGTTATTAGAAAACAAAATTAATAATGACATTGAAAAAAAAAAATGCGCTACATAATACTTACTTTCTTTTTGCGGTACAAACACCATTCCTTGACTGTAAAATTGCAAAGCCTTAGCCCAATCGCCTTTTTGCACCGCTTTATTTCCGTCGTCTTTCAATTGGCGCGCTTTTTCCATATCTTTCCTCACTGGAAAATCTCCACCAGTTTGACATTTTTCGATGTCAACAGACAGATCGTAAGCCTTGATGGCCGGTAAATTGCACAAATATGATACACGTTTTGAATTGGATTCCAAATTGGCGAAGTTGTTTCTCGACACATCATCCAGACTGTTGTTGATCGTCTCGTGGAATTTCTTGAAGAATTCTCCGGTGTCAGACATGTTTATTTTATCACTTGTTTGGTTGTACAGATGCTTTTAATTTACTGGCACTGGATTACTTTAAATAATGGCCCTCTGTTAGAAAGGGATTGAATATGTTTAACCGGTGAAAATATCAAGAATATGAATTTGAGGTTAAGAACGTTGAGATCGAGAAAGCTCGCATGCGAGCAGATTATTTTGTATTTCTATTTTTATAATTCTACCATGACCCGCTCATCGCTTCGGTGAGTGTACTACAATTCTGCTTGTGTGTTGTTGTTATTCGAGATCATCTGTACAGCTATGCATTTGTGTATTTTGCTCCCAAAGAAAAATGATTGTTTATAAAAATGTGTTGTTTCGATATTATTATCATTTTATACCCAAATATTTAGGTACAAATGTACATTAATATTTGGGTATAAAATGATAATTATTGGATATAAAATGATAGTCTAATGACATAAATACTATCTATCATCTCGTGCTTTAATTTTCCATGAAGTAAAATCTTTTAGTTAAATGCAATTAGAAACGATAGCTATTCTTAGCTTGAACTTGCTGTATTAAAAAGAGAAAGCGAAATTGATTTTTTTTATTATCGTATACTTTTATAAGAAACTCCATCAGGGCCGGAAATCCGGAATGTAAATTGAACGTCGTCTAAAATTTGTAATAACAAACAAAAGTGTCTGCAAAGCAATGATTAATTATGTCTCGATTAAATATTAGTGATATCTATCAAGAAGTGACAATTGTCCGAAGCAGTGATAAATAATGCAACGTGTTCTCGTTAATATACTTTCCGTTAAAGTTAAGAAACAAAACATTACCATTCAGTTTATTTTATTACTACAATAAAGCGAAGCACAATATTTACGTAAAGATTTCTATAAAATTTTTAAACAATTTACGTGTGTATAGTGTTTTTATGAACATCATGCGTATGAAGCCAACTAGTAAGGTAATGTTAACGTGTTGTTCCTATATCCTATTATATTGTACAAGCAAGTCACGTACACATCCCATTGACCAAATTTAAATATCTGTGCCATATCTACTACACATGGCAGAATTTTGTACATAAATTTGGCGGTAATGGGATATAATTATATCAAATTATATCTACGTGTTTCTGTAATGTCACGTGTATACATATAACTAAAAAGATGCGAAAAAACAAGTTATTTTGTCGGATTACTAAACTGTTATTGAAATGGTTATAAAAAATTATTAATTATCGATTAATACACGATTGGATGCTCGTCTATCAGATAGTAAGTGTAATTCAAGCTGCATTTCTAATTTGGAGTGTTGCGTAGTCTATATTTCTTATACCATCAGCTAGTCGAGGTTACCTGAGATGGTATGGAGTGTGTATAAGTTTTCTCGATTGTAATTTTATACAGGGAAGAGCATTCAAGGAAAGTATAAGTAATGAACACGCCTTAACAGAGTGAGCTAAGAAGTTGATATTCTAATGTTGAGCATGGAGACGAATAATATATGTTTTTAGTCTAAAATTGAGGAAAGAGCAAGGCCATGCGACCTAAAAGGGTTGTTGGTAGAGACCATTAGTTCAAGACGACTAGAGACCTTAGAATGTGCTCGGAAAACAGACAAAGAGTTGCCCATTCAGAAATCTTGATTTCTTTGTCTTTGTTTTAAATAGTACCTAGTATGTTCTATGTTAAACCTGAAGTTTAGTGTACGTTTAATTTACAGGATCCACGCTTAGATCTAAGTGAAGAATTGTATTTATGCAAATACTGAAATAATGTATACTGTAGTTTGCTTCCCCAAATGACTTGAAAATTTTTTAAGTATGTAAAGTCAATAATTTTTTTTAGTAATAATAGTTTGTCCACTTTAATTGATAACGGATAATTATGAACCATAATCATAAATCAAGATAACCGGATATTTTCAATGGGGATTCAGAAAAATGGAGATGTGATCATCATTGAAACAATATAAGGAATAACAAAGTCCATTTTGTGTTAATTAACAAAAATGTTATAATCATATACCCCGGAAAGCATGTACATTGGAGATCATATCTCAGCAGCGAACAATACCACAAGGCATTGTCTTTTACCGGACGGTAATTCTTTTCGTACCATTTAATAGTGGTGCAACGGCGAAGTGATGTCAGCGCGTGGAAAAAATCTCGACCAGTCACCGCGTTCTGCGACCTGACAACTCTAATGGATTCTAGGATACCTTCTATGGGTGTGTGATTACCCAATTAGTTTCCTAAGAAACAGGGAAATCTGTATGATTATGACATAGTCACTAAGGCTATTTTACATCGATGTATGAGAGTGGCGTTAAAACGCTTATTTGTATGTCATTAATATAGCATTTATTATATAAATTATAGTAATATACTTCTTTTTCTGTGAGGAATAAATGCGGCTTATATAATATACGCGACATTCCTTTAAGATCGAGTCCTGCCACTACATGTATATGAGAATTTTACCATAAGGTCGCGGTTTGAAACTCGTTTTTAGGGTTCCGTACCCAAAAGGTAAAACTGGACCCCATTACTAAGACTCCGCTGTCAGTCTGCCCTGTTTGTCCATCTCTCACAAGGTATCTCATGAACCGTGAAAGTTAGGCATTTGAAATTTTCACAGATGATGTATTTCGGTTGCCTCTATAACTACAAATACAAAAAAAAAAACAATATAAAATATTTAAGTGGGGCTCCTATAAAAAGACATGATTTTTTTTACCATATTTTTAGATATGGGTACGGAACCCTTCGTGCGCGACTCCGACTCGCACTTGGTCGGATTTTTTTAAATTCCATCTAGAACAAATAAAACATTAAGTAGTTGCACGACTCGCTACTAGGGAATCTGAGTTTAACCAATATTTATGCCCTCTTTTCTCTAAAAACTCAAGATTGTAAATTTTTGTTAGATGGGTCGAAGCCTAGTCAACTTTGAGAACCACTGTTTTATACAATTCATTCCCGCTATATGGTGATAATGCTAACTTTATCTTTATTGAATGCTGTTCTCTCTTTCTGACCTTAGAATATTAAAGCTACACCGAAAGCAGTGTTAGTGGAACAACCAGATTCCAAGAGCTTAATAGATCACTAGATCACGTTAGAAACGAGAAGAGCAAGAAATCTAGACATTAATGTACTTAGTAGGTTTAAGATATGAAAGTTTGTTTTCTTTTGATCTTTCTTTGATGGACTTCCGGGAAGTGATCCTTGAATATTAGATGTGTTTTACTGTGCCCATTATGGAGACTGGGTCTCTGCTTAGCTCGCTCCTATTTGGTCAAACCCTAAATTAGCGAATACTATTTCCTCTCAATTACCCCGGCCTAAGGATGAGAAGATGAGATGCTTTACTTTATCGAAACAATTAATGTTATTTAATAGATAGTAAGCGATAGAGATTGTGATTGTGATTGTGAGGTGTATCAATTTCTAAATTCAAAAAATTGTAAAGTAAAGTTTGTATGTTAAATGCTATTATAATATTAGTGATTATTTAAATGATAACACAATCTGGAAATGAAGTGATAGCTCCAGGCTCTTTCAAGTTGACTTCAATACATTTGTAAACATTTTTTTTAATTGTAAAAAAAAGTCCCACTGAGTTTCTTTCGCCAGTTCTTCTCAGGTCAGTGACTTTTCTTTCCGAACCGGTGGTAGCATCTTGACAATCAATAAGTAAGTGTAATGCTTCTATATTAAATAAACGTATTTGATTTGATCGATGAGTTATTCCTAGCAGGTATTCCCGTTGCTTCGAGTATGCAGCCTGAAAAATTTATAATTTAAAGACAATATAAAAGTTGAAAGCAAATCTTAATATTGATAAAGACAAACCAAAAGATAAGGTATTTCTTAATCATAAACGTGGTTAATATACAAGTGATGAAAGCGAGTTGAGCACGCTATGTGTTGACGCATGTGCAGTACTTTTAAAACGACGTGTAGTTGATGCACTGCGCACTTGCCGGATCTCTTACGCTCTGACGTACCTTTAACAGTTGGTAATCGCTAAATTCGGCCACTTTTATTAATCTTTAAAATTTAAAATCAGACGGATGTAGAAATCACATAGTCGGATATAGTGATATTCGCTTTTTCCGAGCTTTGAACTTTTACGAGCTTAAATATGGCGTAAATATACAACCTTCAAATTTGGGTATATGGTTTGTACCGAGTCATTGTTTGAGCAGCTTCCTCCTGAATACCTAGAAATTTATCAAGGTCGTGGCCAACGGTCCGTGGATTCTTTGCGACGCAGCATCTAGAACTAGGGGCACCACAAATAAGAAATTTAGATGTATAAAATTCTAGTAAAATAACTATATTTATATATAACGATATTTTACTGGTCCGTGGTTATATATTATTATATTAAATATTATTATAACTTACATATTGCTTAAAGAGAATACTATATACAAAAGAAGCATTAATGTCATTGATATTTTATTTGTAACATAATTATCTCGCAGAGAAACCCCGAGCATAACTCTCCATTGCCAGTTAGTGACCACGTTTCGGCGCCGTAGGTCGGAAAGCGCAGCGTGGACGGCCATCTGCAAGATGGACCGATGACCTGACTAAGGTCGCGTGACTTCGCTGAAATCAGGCCGCTTCTGATCCTTCGAAGTGGAAATCATCAGAGGAGCCCTATGTTCAGCAGTGGCTGAAGGTTGAAATGATGATGACGACGACGACGATGATGATGATAATTATCCAATGATGAAGCTAATATTGAAAATTCTGTTCATTTCAAATTGGTCTCAACCAATAGTCAAATTTCGTGCAGTATTTATCTAAAAATATTGTGGATTAGTAAGTAGTAAAATTTAAAACACTTTTTATTGATACATTAAGTTTATCTTGAAATGTAATTTTTTTATTAATTTAAAAATTAAGACAGAAAAATGTTTCACTTTCGAAAATAGCATACAACGGTGCTAATATTTAAATCCAATTATTAACTTAGTCCAGGCAGTTACCCTACACTCCTTTGCGGCAGTAAAAAATGGTTGTATAGTAGATGTTTAGGTAAATGCTCGTCCTTGAACAACATTGCATTAGTGTAAGACCATTAGGTTTTTATCCACTTTAAGATCTTTCCAGAAATTATCTCCGTATTCCGATGATTTTGTATTTTGCTGTGTAAATATTTTATCTTCTTTGGGTAGTATTTTAACATACTTAAAAAACCTTTATTATTTTTCGTAACATGGGAATTTAACCAAACATAAAACTAAGCACATTATTACCGAAAGCTTAAAGCGAGAGTTTAAGTTGTTGTGAATATTTATGAAAAAGAAAATATCAATGTCTCTGACATTAATAAAAGTACTTTGGTAGTCATCATATGCTCAGCAGAAATTACTTTCTATATTAGTATACGTTTCATTTTTTGTTTATTAGTATTTAGTAGTTATTTGATTTTATACTAATTTCTTGTATTTGATTACTAAAATAGACAGTGAATAAGTGGTACAAAATCTATTATTTTATTTCAAAGTCAAAATTTCTTTATTCAACATAGGCTTTTTAAGCTTTTATTGAAGGACAAAAATTACCACTGGTTCACTAAACTAGACCTGCGAGAGAAGAACCGGCAAGAAACTTTGCGGTCATATATATATATTTTTTATAAATTATTTAGGTATGTACAAAAAAGTATTTTAGTATAATTTTGCGGGAGCCAGGGGACTTGCTAGTGCAGAGCAAGAGTCATATTTAATCAATGTTATTACATAAATATATCGTTTTTTTATTATATTTACTTCAAAGGTCTACTTCGTACCGGCTTTGTATAAAACTGAGTAAAATAGATAATAGAACCGTAGTGTAAATAACCATCAATTCTTCCTCATTTGTAACTAAACCATTTTATATCGATAATTTTGATCAATTTCGTAGCTTCAATGTGAAAGTTACACTGAAATATTTTTTGTATGTATGAATCATTGTGTTTTGATATACAGTATCTATTGAGTGTATTATTACACGATCCTATTGTAACGAGGTGCCGTAAAAGGTAGCAATGTGATCATCAAGTACTTATTAATGGCGGTGCGTGGAGAATTATTCAAAACTATAGATGTCTCGTAGTGATCCTCTATTTGTGATTCCAGATCCGAGTAGTTGAACAATTACCCGCTTCCATGAGTAGTTTTCTGAGTCGTGACAAGTGTAATAGATTTTATCTGAGAATAAAGCCACGCGCTTCATGATTGTACTGGTTAATCATACTTCCCATTATTTAATCCTACTACACGATGGTATCAAGCCACACAATAAGTATTGTGATTGGTATCGTTCACATAATGTTGTTAATCGTCAAAAACTACTTGATATTCATAGATTGTTTTATAATTAAATTACTGTTATACATTGGCGTGGAGATTATTAATTTCAACTAGAAGGCTAAATCTTAAATCTTAAGAGAGTTTTGTAAATTCGCTACATATATAAATCGTAACTAATTGGTTCATGAATATAGAAAAATCAAAATAGACGTATTTTAAAATAAGATATTTTATATAAACTGTGTACATAAATTATTAAATAAATAAAAATAGACATTCTGTATTGTAAATAGACAATAGGCGCTGAGTATATACTGTTACTGTTCGGCCTATACCTCGGAATGCACCTGTCGACGTATATGATTGTGTAATTGTGCCGTCCTTGTTGATGTATAAACAGAAATTAGGATTTTTAAATGATGTTTTTGCTTTCAGTCGCGAGACTATTAAAGCTTCATCTGACGCAGAACCGGTGGGCTAGCCAGGACCCACGGGCTTGGGCCCTCCGCTGTGGGTAGGTCCGCGCATGTGGTTCATGCGTGCATTTGACTATGTCATCTGAGGGCAAAATCAAAATCAAATCAAAAATATATTTATTCACATAGACGCTTGCGCGTTCTTATGAAATGTCAAAAATTTTACATAAAAATTAATACGTTCGTAAGTTACCACCGGTTCAGAAGGCAGTTTCTGTTGAGAAGAAACCCGCAAGAAACTCAACAGTTGCTCTTTTTTAAAACGATTAGTTTACAATAGAACAAGTATGTCATTTTAGCCTACGTGAGTATCAACAGCATTAACCCCACACATTGGCGTCGTCAAGATATTCTGCAATACATGTGTACGCGTTGTGTTGGTCTCGCCGTGCTCGGAGGCGAGGGCGACTGACATTAGGTATCGCTGCGATCGCTAATACGTCTCCCGTGCCCATTTTGAGCGTATCGCTTCCATCGTGGCGAGTGCAGTAGCAGGTCGACACCTATACGTTCGAGTCGAGCGGTCCATGTACGAGCCCTCGTGTGGGCCAATACTCTGAATCACCGGAGCAAAACTCATTTTTGCAAACTGCAGAGGGTGTTGTTCATTCAGGCCGGGGATAGGATAAAAGTCAAAAATTCTGGCGTTGTAACACTACTGGAATGTTCTAGAGGAATTGCAGTGGCAGAGGGGTGAGGATCGTTAGTTAGCCAAATAGTAATGAGCAGTATTTAATGTAAGTATTAAATTAAAAAAAAAACATTGTCTAAACTGTCAATTCTAAGACAGCAGACAAAAAGTTGAACTATCAAAAACGCAAAATGCAAATTATAAAACTAGTTATTACCGTTAACAATGGACATATTTCATTTTCCTTGTATTAAGAATGATTCAAATACAACTACTGTACTTAATTATATATGTGGTTAAAGATGAAGCATTCTAGTTGATGTTCCCAGTACCGATATTAATATAATAACAATAATTATAAACGGGAAATATTTCTGTTAGTATGTATTTGGTATTTTTTGAAATTGCCTACTGAAACTATAGTGAAAACATTTCTCCTTACGTTAGCGAAAATTACATACATTTTATATTTTATATGATATTTTTATATTTTATTCAATTAAAAAGTAACTCAAAATTCAATATTTCTCAATATCACGGTGGTAGAGCCACGCAGTGGCCTCGGCTGTTGCACGAATGGGCAGGCACGTCCGGGTAAGTACCACGACCTCACAGAAGACCGGCGTAAAGTGGAAGTATAATGCTTTCGCGTTTCGTCTGGTGAGTGCGGTGGCCGGAGCCCAATTTTCAAGATGTTGTCAATGCATCTGGAACCCTCGAGTATAGCAGATGTCCATGGGCGGTGGTATTCATTTAACATCAGGTGAACCGTCTGCTCGTTTGGCAACTTTTCACATAAAAAAAAATATGAAACTAATATTTATTCGATGAATTTCATACAATCTCAAACCTCGTGGTAGGGCCACGCAACAGTCTTCGCTGTTCCACGAATGGGCAGGTCCGTCCGGGTAAGTACCACGACCTCAAAGAAGACCGGCGCGAATTGGAAGTGTCATACTTCTGCGTTTCTTCTCTTGAGTGAGGTAGCCAGGGCCTTTTTTATTGAAATAATAATATAATAATAAATATTTTAGGACACTTTCTTTTTACACAACGTTCTCTCTAGTCCCAAACTAAGCAATGCTTGTACTATGGGTACTAGAAAACTGAAAGACATACTTAAACATACTTTTCTTTTGTAAATAAATACACATTATACACATATAAACACCCAGACACTAGAAAAACAATATGCTCATCACACAATATTTTTCCAGTAGTGGGAATCGAACCCACACCCTCTGGCGCAGAAGGCAGGTACACTACCGACTAAACCATTCGGGTCGTCTTTTTATTAAAAGGTGGTAACGCATCTGCAATCCTACGGGTGTTGCAAATGTCAATGGGCGGCGGTTATCACTTAACATCTGGTGAACCACCAGCTCGTTTGCCACCTTCCCACATAAAAAAAAAACTATTATAATTGTTGTTTAAAGACAAAATAGTAAAGTTATTAAATGGGCGTTATTTAATTACTTAAAGTTACGGGAAGGATCTCAGATTTGTCTGTAAAGTCGGAGCGAATTAGCTAGTGTTGTATTGTAATGAAAAATAAAAGGTCCATCATACCATGTGGTTGTTTACTTCAGAAATGGCCAATGCCATTGACCTTAGTTACAGAAACCGCATCACAAGGAAAATGGCTTTTTCGTTCGATAGGTATTAATTTTTGAAGATTTCCCTGTAAATTGCTTCTACAATATGTGATTTCCAATGGTTTTTATTTTTTTATCTTGTGATTCCTGTGCCTTTTTTTATTCATTTGGCCCAATAAATACTGTGGAGTGTTCTGTGGCGTCATAAATATGCACATCTGAAAGTAAAGGAAAAACAAAAAAAATCTAAAAAAAAACTAAAATTGTAATAATATGTTAAATTATCGAGTTATTGAAAATAAACGCTAATAGTTTTTAATTTCAGTTCACAAGATGGATAGACTAACATATTAGATCCCCGGCTACCTCAATCAACAGTCAACACGCAAAATTATAATACACTTACACATCACACCGGTCTTCTCTGAAGGCATGGTAATTCTTATATTGTGATCCCCGGCTACCTCAATCAACAGTCAACACGCAAAAGTATAATACACTTACACATCACACCGGTCTTCTCTGAAGGCATGGTAATTCTTATATTGTGATCCCCGGCTACCTCAATCAACAGTCAACACGCAAAAGTATAATACACTTACACATCACACCGGGATGATTCCGCTTCGTGCTTCCACACGGAACGGACGTTACTCTGAGCCGGAGGGCCCATGCCGACCGACCCGGAAGCCATTTTGCAACCGTTGTTGCTACTTATATTATTTCTTTTATCTCTTGGTGTGCACTCCTTGCCTCATCGTTGTCGTGTTTCGCGGTCTACGGTTAGGGAAGTCTCAAGCAAGAAGAGTGAAGAAACATTATAGAAGAAAGAAAAAAAACATTATAGAAGAAAGAAGAAACTTTGCCCGACTTCCGAGCGGATAGTGTTAGTGTAGTGTTGTGCTCGTAGGCAGGTTCCTGTCCGTAAGTAGAATTCTACACACATTTCTCGTCTCAGAGGCGGCATTGTAATTTTTACCTGTGTGCTTGTTGCATTAGGCGACAGCTAGGTACTCACCCTAGCGCACCTAAAGCGCAGGTGATTAAAGGTTAATTTTAGGCACACACAGGCCTATTTAGAAAACCACACGCCGGCGGGGCGCAAGCCCCAAAGGCTCAAGCGTCGACATGGGTTCCCTCTTAGAGGAGTTCCTGCGGGAGGAATGCCCCGAAATATGGGCAAAGTTCTTAAATTTCGCGAGGGAACGGCGCCGAGCCGTCGAATTCTCTAGCGACAGTCCGGCTTCACCGGCAGTCGCCTCGCCGCCATCTCCGGTGCCCTCTGCGCCAGCTATTGTGTCGCCCTCTGCGACAATTGATACGCCCGTCGCGTCGACTTCCGCCGCCGCGAACGAACCCAACGCGCCTTCCGCGCAAACCATTTCGGCCCCCTTCCGCGCTGTCGTTCCCGACTCACAATCGGACGGCGGCTCAGACATGGAGGTCGAAACGACCCCCGCTAACAACGCGAACGCCGACGGCTTCACCGTCGTCAAATCGTGAAAAAAGGGCAAAAAACGCCCCGCTACCGACAGCGACCCCGAAAGCGAGGCCGCCCCGTCAAACCGTCCCACCGCGACGCCCGCCAAAAAGGCAGCCGCGTCTGCCCAGTCGGAACCGACATTCGCCTCCGAGCGAAAAACCAAGCCACCGCCGCCAATAATAATACAAGATAAGGCAAAGTGGCAACAGGTTTGTTCGTGGTTTGAACGCCACAACATCCGAGACCCCCGGTCCAAGAATACGCATATGGGTATCCGCGTATACCTCGATTCTTCGGACGACTTCCGTCGCGTAACTAAATACTTGCGCGAAGCTAAGGTAGGTTTCCACACCTACTCACTACCCGAAGAGCGCAAACTTCGGGTCGTAATTAAGGGCGTCCCAAAAGAGTCGGATGTCGATATGGCTAAGGTCGACATCCGCACTCAGGGATACCCTGTCCACACCGTGCGTCGTCTCAGGCACCCTCGCACCCGTGTCCCTATGGACATGGTCATGGTGGAACTTGACCCTACCCCGGAAGGTAAGGCCATTTTCAACCTTAAGAGGGTCTGTGGGCTCAGTGACTTAGTCATCGAGCCCCCACGTAAATCAGGTGTTGTGGCACAGTGCCACAACTGTCAACATTTTGGCCACACGGCCAATAACTGCTTCGCTCACCCAAGGTGTGACAAATGCACCGGTGACCACGGCACAACCGAGTGCACGAGGCCGAAAGATTGCGCAGATCCACCGGACTGCGTAAACTGTAACGCCACCGGCCATCCGGCTAGCTACAGAGGCTGCGCTAAGGCCCCGAAAACTCCCGCGAGGAAATCTCTCGCGAAATCGACGTTGCCCAAACCCGCGCCCGTTAGATTCATTCCCGCGCCCGTACCCGTCGTAAACGCCTGGGCGAAACCCCAGGTGGCCGCGCAGGTAACCGCGCCGGTAATCCCGGTCGCCTCACGACCGATCGCGCAACAGCTGCCCGCCTCTCAAACGGCGCCGCGGCCGCAGGTGCAGCCAATTCCGTCAGTTTTCGCGGAAAACAAGGACGACCCATTCGCGCAAATAGCTAACATCTGCATCTTCAATCAATAGGCAGGAACTCGCCGTATTGTCCGCTAAAATAGCGGCCGCCACATCTGGCCACGAGCGTCTTAGGGCAATTAGCCAACACAAAACGCTTGTGGAAGCCCTTTGGGCTTTTACGAGCCAACCGTAAAAAACAATAGTCCGCGCAATAAACCCGCGCTCCGCCGCGTCGTTAATTAGACCCATAAAAACACCTTAACGGGAAGTACAACCGCAGGTAGAACAAAACCTCGGGCTCTGGTTGTTTCGTATTTCAACGCAAACGGCATAAAGGGTCAAAGGGATGAAATCGCGGAACTCCTTCGCGATTATAACGTAGATATTTACTAGTGCAAGAGACATTCTTGAAACCTAGTGTACGCGATCCCAGAATCGCAAATTACAATATTGTCCGCCACGATCGGTTAGCAAACCGTCTGGGAGGCATACTAATTTATTACAAACGGTCCTTGCACTGTTGCCCGCTCGACATTCCAGAGCTAAGTCAAATAGAGGCATCCGCGTGTAGGTTAGCGCTCACCGGCCACAGGCCGCTTGTACTAGTCTCATCCCTACCTCTCGGGGAATAGAACCCTCCTTCAAAGCGACCTAGATACGCTTCTTAACTTAGGCCCTTCCGTGATAATTGCAGGAGATCTAAACTGCAAACACGGCTCATGGGACATCAACAGCATCCCAAACAACAACGGAAAGCATCTCTTTAGCTTATCCGATAACCTAAATTTCAGTATAGTCGCTCCCGCGACTCCCACTAGGTACCCTACGGTGGACAACTACCAGCACGCGTCACCGAGTGTCCTAGACATAATGTTATTCAGGGAGGTCTCGCTCGGCATCGAGTCGATAGGGACAATCCATGAACTAGACTCAGACCACAGGCCCGTCCTGTGTAAACTGGGCCAGGACGCCGGCGCGGTCCCTCCGACCAAATCCGTAGTGGACTGGCATCGTCTTGAGGTCAAACTCAAGGCCTTGGACCCCCAGGACTTAGTAGACTTACCCGAGACGATAGCTACGTTCGATGACGCAAATCGAGCGATAGCGAGTCTCCGCGAAACTATTACTTCCGCAGTCGCAGACTCGGAACGGACGGTGAAACTGTCGGGCGACCGACGGTTTAACTTTCCGCCCGACCTGCGACTGCTAATTAGACAGAAAAATGCAGCCAAACGCGCCTTCGACCGATACCGATCGGAATCGAACCGAACCCTACTTCGACGCCTTCAGCTAGAAGTCAAAGATCGTGTATCGGAACACCGACATACAACGTGGGACACTCTCCTAGAGGACATCGAGCCATCGCACACCGCCTACTGGCGGTTGGCCCGCAGTCTGAAAGCAGACCCCCGCGAATCTCTACCGCCGTTAGTTAGATCTAATAGCGCTTCAGTAGCCCTAGATGACTCCGAAAAAGCCGAATGCCTTGCGGACAACCTAGAGCAGCAATGTACGCCATCGCGCGAACACACCGATTCAGTCCACCTAACGGAGGTGGACCGCGTAATCGAGATTAGGGCTGCGCTTCCACCGGAAGGCGAACCTCTAAATTCAGTGACCCCCGAAGAGGTCCAAGATATTATTAAAAATTTAAAACCAAAATCCGCCCCGGGCCCAGATAATATAAGTAATAAGATTCTCAAAGCTCTCCCTGGGCCGCTTATCTGTTTACTGGCGACCATTTTCAATACCCTTCTCTCCAGTTGCTCCTTTCCGGACGACTGGAAGCAAGCCACGGTTATCGGCATTCGCAAGCCGAATAAACCAGCCAATAAGCCCTCCAGCTATCGTCCCATCAGCCTCCTCAGTTGTCTGGGGAAGCTCTACGAGCGGCTATTGTTAAACAGGCTCAAAGAGCACGTATTTTCCAACGGCCTTCTGCCGACGGAACAATTCGGCTTTCGAGCTAGACACTCTTGTCCCGATCAGCTATACCGTCTAACGGAACACATCCTAAAAGGCCTTAACCACCCCAAACACATCAGTACAGGGGCTCTTCTTCGATGTCGCAAAAGCATTCGACAAAGTCTGGCACAACGGCTTGCTTTACAAGCTGTACACACTCAAAGTGCCAGATAGGCTCGTACACACCATCCGGGCCTTTTTGTTGAACCGCTCTTTTCGATATCGAGTCGAGGGCACCCTCTCAACAAGCCGCCGCCTCACGGCCGGCGTACCACAAGGCTCCTGCCTCTCTCCCTTGCTATTTACGCTCTACACGAGCGACATACCTAGAGACCCTCACGTCAATCTCGCGCTTTTCGCGGATGACACGGCGCTCTTTTACTCAGATCGCAACCTCAGTCAATTAACAACTCGACTCCAAAGCGCCGCCGACCGCCTCGGCGATTGGTTCCGCAAATGGAGAATCGATATTAATCCAGAAAAAAGTGTGGTGATTCACTTTACTCGTAGCACCAACCCCCATCCGCCACACCGTTACAAAGGTCCTCGCCAGTACAGAAAGTTGGGGCAAATATCACTATACGGCCAAACTCTCCCCTGGGAGAAAACGGTCAAATATTTAGGAGTCACTTTCGACTCGCGTATGACTTTCACTACGCACATCAATCAAGTCCGAAATAAAGCCGTGTTCGTCTCCGGCCGGCTACACAATTTAACGAATAAGCATAGTAAAATG